AACATAGTATTCAATATACGCTCCCCGCATATATTCCAGCCTAATGAAAACATTATATTACACATAGCATACGATGATGGTAAGTCATCTCTTCGAAGGGTTTTTGAAAGATTGAACAACTTTGAGAAGGATAGATGGTTTCCTTGATTCAGATTGAAGCAAGTCTACAGTCAATCATTCAACCAGAAAATGATCCTTCATTTTTACTTCACAAAGTCACCAGAGCCTTCCAATAAAAATACCCAAGCCTCAGAATTCGACCGCTCCATACTGACAATCCCTGTATTACCAGATCCACTGTGATTAGAACTCCCAACTTTGATAACATGACAGTTACTAATATATTTCCACAGCAGTACGTGGCAGAACTTATAGCCTAACAGAAACGATTCATTATATTATTAAACATTGCGTTTGATGAAGTAATCTCCTCGAAGGGTTCTTGTAGCATCTCTTTGTAAGATTGGACCACTTCGAAAAGGATGGATGGTGTTCATGATTCAGATTGAAGCAAGTCTACAGTCAAGTAAATAACCAAACAATGATCTTTCATTATTTCATCAACAAAGTAACCATAGCCTTCCAATAAAAATAACCAAGCTTCAGAATTCGACCGCTCCATACTGACGATCCCTGTATAACCACATCTACTGTAATTAGAACTCCCAACTTCGATAACATCACAGTCTCTAATATACTCCCACAGCACTACGTGGCAGAACTAATAGCCTAACAAAAACGGGACATTATATTATTACACATTGTGTACGATGATGGTAAGTCATCTCCTCGGAGGGATTTTGTAGCATCTCCTTGTAAGGTTGGACCACTTCGAAAAGGATGGATGGTTTCCATGATTCAGATTGAAGCAAGTCTACAGTCAAGTAGATAATCAGACAATGATCCTTGATTATCGCGTCAAAAAAGGAACCATAGTCTTTCAATAAAAATAACAAAGCCTCAGAATTCTACCGCTCAATGCTGACGATCCCTGTATAACCAGACCCACTGTAATTAGAACTCCCAACTTTGATAACATCACAGTTTCTAATATACTCCCACAGCACTACGTGGCAGAACTGATAGCCTAACAAAAACGGGACATTATATTATTACACATTGCGTACGATGATGGTAAGTCATCTCCTTGGAGGGATTTTGTAGCATCTCCTTGTAAGGTTGGACCACTTCGAAAAGGATGGATGGTTTCCATGATTCAGATTGAAGCAAGTCTACAGTCAAGTAAATAATCAGACAATGATCCTTGATTATCGCGTCAAAAAAGGAACCATAGTCTTTCAATAAAAATAACAAAGCCTCAGAATTCTACTGCTCAATGCTGACGATCCCTGTATAACCAGACCCACTGTAATTAGAACTCCCAACTTTGATAACATCACAGTTTCTAATATACTCCCACAGCACTACGTGGCAGAACTGATAGACTAACAAAAACGGGACATTACATTATTACACATTGTGTACGATGATGGTAAGTCATCTCCTCGGAGGGATTTTGTAGCATCTCCTTGTAAGGTTGGACCACTTCGAGAAGGATGGATGGTTTCCATGATTCAGATTGAAGCAAGTCTACAGTCGAGTAAATAATCAGACAATGATCCTTCATTATCGCGTCAAAAAAGTAACCATAGTCTTTCAATAAAAATAACAAAGCCTCAGAATTCTACCGCTCAATGCTGACGATCCCTGTATAACCAGACCCACTGTAATTAGAACTCCCAACTTTGATAACATCACAGTTTCTAATATACTCCCACAGCACTACGTGGCAGAACTTATAGCCTAACAAAAACGGTACATTATATTATTACACATTGTGTACGATGATGGTAAGTCATCTCCTCGGAGGGATTTTGTAGCATCTCCTTGTAAGGTTGGACCACTTCGAAAAGAATGGATGGTTTCCATGATTCAGATTGAAGCAAGTCTACAGTCAAGTAAATAACCAGACAACGATCCTTTATTATTTCGCTAACAAAGTAATCATAGCCTTCCAATAAAAATAACCAAGCTTCAGAATTCGACCGCTCTATGCTGACAATCCCTGTATAACCAGACCCACTGTAATTAGAACTCCCAACTTTGATAACATCACAGTTTCTAATATACTCCCACAGCACTACGTGGCAGAACTTATAGCCTAACAAAAACGGGACATTATATTATTACACATTGTGTACGATGATGGTAAGTCATCTCCTCGGAGGGATTTTGTAGCATCTCCTTGTAAGGTTGGACCACTTCGAAAAGGATGGATGGTTTCCATGATTCAGATTGAAGCAAGTCTACAGTCAATTAAATAATCAGACAATGATCCTTGATTATCGCGTCAAAAGAGGAACCATAGTCTTTCAATAAAAATAACAAAGCCTCAGAATTCTACTGTTCAATGCTGACGATCCCTGTATAACCAGACCACTGTAATTAGAACTCCCAACTTTGATAACATCACAGTTTCTAATATACTCCCACAGCACTACGTGGCAGAACTTATAGTCTAACAAAAACGGTACATTATATTATTACACATTGCGTACGATGATGGGAAGTCATCTCCTTGAAGCCATAAGGGTTTTTGTAGCATCTCCGGTATAATTACATTGTCTTGTTGGCAAAAGGAAGACGCGGTTAAAAGGATCGTAACTGCGAACGAGACTTTTGCGGCTGAAATTATATTCGGAGCAGGAAAACGTGGCCGGCATGCAAAAAGGCAGTTTCGCGGCTGCTGCACTCGAGAAGATATTGGCCAATTTGATAAAAGTTTCGCGGGATTTGCCCCATTTCTCAAGCGGCATGTGTGGGGTCTTTCGAAGAAGGAAGAATAATGGGTAAGGATTACCTACTTGATATAACCAAGTTGTGCTATCATTTCGGAATAGTCGTTGTGATTCTAGAAACTCTTGGAGCACACCGAAGGAAATTTCTATAATGTTTGATGAACATCGTGCGTACTTATAGGTAGGATAAGGAGAGTAGGTAGGTGTTGGAATTTCTCTTGAAATTTTGGAGATTGTAAGTTTTTGGGAATACTTCCAATGGCAGAGAATTCTAATAATAACGTTCCATGATATTTTGGGAACATTTATTTGAACCTGAAAGTTTCACCAGGTCACGTTCAATCCAATAAAATGAACGCAATTGCTTTGTTTTTTTTTCCGAAAAAATTTTGGAATTATGTCGGAAATATTTGAATGAGAGTTGAAATTCACATGCGATTCCCTATTTGATGGAAAGATGCAATAGGAAATTTTATTTTATACGTAATATTGTCATACACTTCTCTACTTTTCAACTACTCATATCGAGTCGTAGCCTTCCACATTTCGTGATGGTAGTACCAAGGAAAGAAAGGATTTTGACAGATCATCTGGATGAATATAGGGTGATGAGTATTTTCATTTAACTAATAGAGGCTATATAGAATTTCAACGTTGAACCCATGAACCAAAAATTTCTCTCGATCAACGAAGATATTTCCTGTATCATAATTTTATCCTAAAAATGATACTCTTGTTCAGTTTCCATAGTATATACTTATCATTTTCGAGATGAATCGATTTTGATAGTCTTTCGATTTTCCCTTATTGATGATAGTGTACCAAATTATCCCAAAAACTATTTTTCTTTCTTTCTTCAACATCTACTTGTGATGTTTGACTCGGAATATGAGAGGAACAATAAAAATAATGATTTGAAAAATATCATATAGGTAGGTGAGTACCCTATTGAGAAAAAGTAATATGTTCCTTCGACTGGACAGGTGACAAAATGTCACTTTTCATAAATTACTTTTATACAGGGTACATAGGCGCACTGTTGACGGCTTTTGTTATTCCAGTTCCGAAAAATAAGCCGATAACACCATCTCGGAGATGAGACTGAAAGTCCTATTCATCTTCCATCCAACTCGTGGTTACGTAAATAACAAATCAACCACTAAAATCGCAATTTTTCAAAATCAAAACACAGAATCAAATTGACGGATCATCGATTACTTCAAAAGATTTCCATAGCAACAATAAGAAAGCCTAAAAGAAGATGTCTGAAACTTAAATCACTTTTTTCTCATTAATATTTTTATCACGCAGCTGACTCGTACAATCGTATTTTCAGGAAAAAATTATGACATTCTCATATTTCCCGGTCAAACTGCCGGAAATTGCATAGAAAAAATAGTTGGTGCAAGAAATGCCCCTAGCCCCACATATTTCCCACGCCCCTGATCAAAATTTCAAGTGATTCTTAACATTCTCAAGTAGGGCATGAGAGGTTATATACATGTGCAAAAGAGATATTGTTTCGGAAATATTTACAGAAACCCATCATCTCGGGCCCTGTTTCAGATGGCTATAACTCCCCAGAGGACCATTTCTGGGATCATGTTTGCATGAAATTTTTCAACTATTCTTGTCCTACAATCTGTGGTTGAGATCTTTATAAGTCATTCCAGGACACCGACCCCATAATACCCTATATTTTTGTTTGTGATCATTTAAAAACATAAACTAGTACCCTGTAGATCATTTGTTCCGAGCACCCTGTAATTTATAAATCATTTCAAATGATTTTTCAAATTTTGAAATCGGTTAAAAAATAACTGAGCTAGCTTGGGGGACTTTTTTGGTGCATCACCCTGTGACGTAACTCCTTAGGAGACGCAATTTTGTGTATCTCTGTGATTCTGAGTTTCATGGCACACCTTCATTAAGAGGTATATGTGGAGGTCTTTGATCTGAAGAAGAAACATTTATGGGTTGCTACGTTACCGTTGGTATCACTTGATAAGATCCAATTTCAATTTCTGAAGATGTGAATTGATAGTCACTCCTCGCAAAGTGATCCAACTGTATCATTGAAATGAAGGTCCTATACTCTAAAAATAAAATTGTGTTGGGTTCCTAGACAACCCAGTATTACCTATACCAATAATAATCGATTAATGTTTTTTGAAATCGATTAAAATTCATTTTTTATTGCAGGAGCAGCGTTATTGAAGATTGTGGAAGTTTACAAAGAAATCCAAGACCAACAAATGAACATCGTAAGTAAAACTACTGCTTCATAAATTCATGAGATTAGATATAAGTAGCTGTTGTCTCTTTCATTCACAACAGACATAGGAGTATTTTTCGATAAATTTTGACTTTTAACCAACGTTTCGAATAGTATATGATATCTCCTGCGAGAAATATATAGCTCTAATCCAGCTATTTTGACAAACAGGTCTTCAAAATATCAAGAGAATATTGAAATGTCCAGAACCATCTTCATTTCAACACGTGAGATCAATTGCAAAAAGTGCATTCCAAAAACTTGGTTTTCTGTTTCGAGCCAGGAGCTATTCTACTTCCAGTCAGCTGCTCATGATTTTTGTGGCATAGGTCCGACCTGTCCTGGAATACTGTTCCGATATTTAGAGTGCAGCACCCAAACATACCCTGAAACTGTTGGATTCTGTCCGAAAGAGGGCAATTCGTCTCGTGGGTGATGTCTTGCTCACAATCTCACTCACTTCTATAGATTCAGATAATTTTATGGGCGACGCTCTCATGAAATATCAAATATTGATCCTCCCTTCGCAGTCCCCGCCAGATTAACGCGTCGAGTTGAGGCTTCGCACCTCTTCGTGGTCACTTTGGAGACCTGCAGAACATCTCTTTCCAAAGACATCATGAAGAATTACTCCTTGCGGAGAATTGTAGTTGGGTGAGGACATAATAAATGAATTAAATGTATTACTCGAACAAAAGCAACTATATTGAGTAATGTTCTAATCATTTTGGAGTTTCCTGCACGATTGAATTCACTGATCATTCTAGAAAAACAACATTTTCTCGGTTGAAACAATGCAGACCCCTCTCATGGTATTTCACATTGGCATTGCAATTTTCTGTGACAATTTCAGTTCTACGTTCAATTCTGAGAGTGAAATTCCTACAGAAAGCCCTTCAGTTCGCCCTTGCGCTGCTCTGCCCGGTAGAGTAATTATCAAGGGAATTAATTGCCCTCCAACTCCATTGTTTTCGTTGAAGTTGTTCCGGACCTACACGGAGGATTAGTCAGTTTTATGTTGACTCGATTAAGGCTTTCGTTATCTGAAGTACGGAATTCGCCATTGTGGTTAGTGTTAGGGCTCTTTTATTGAAATAATTGGCAACAGGGTTGTGTTGGTTCTTTGTGGCAATACAGCTTGAAGAACATATACACTCCTCCAAGAAATGAACGCACAATCAAAAAGTAGCCTAAAAGTTCAGGAAACATTTTCGTGAAAACTACTTGTCCGATTTGCACGTTTCTTCTTGCAGGTTATTTCTTTCTGAACATTGGCAATAGTAATTTCCGATTGTTTTCGTTGAAGTTGTTCCGGACCTAAATGGAGAATTAGTCAGTTTCAAGTTGACTCGATTAAGGCTATCCTTATCTTTGTGGCAATACAGCTTGAAGAACATATACACTCCTCCAAGAAATGAACGCACAATCAAAAAGTAGCCTAAAAGTTCAGGAAACATTTTCGTGAAAACTACTTGTCCGATTTGGACGTTTCTTCTTGCAGGTTATTTCTTTCTGAACATTGGCAATAGTAATTTCCGATTGTTTTCGTTGAAGTTGTTCCGGACCTAAATGGAGAATTAGTCAGTTTCAAGTTGACTCGATTAAGGCTATCCTTATCTTTGTGGCAATACAGCTTGAAGAACATATACACTCCTCCAAGAAATGAACGCACAATCAAAAAGTAGCCTAAAAGTTCAGGAAACATTTTCGTGAAAACTACTTGTCCGATTTGGACGTTTCTTCTTGCAGGTTATTTCTTTCTGAACATTGGCAATAGTAATTTCCGATTGTTTTCGTTGAAGTTGTTCCGGACCTAAATGGAGAATTAGTCAGTTTCAAGTTGACTCGATTAAGGCTATCCTTATCTTTGTGGCAATACAGCTTGAAGAACATATACACTCCTCCAAGAAATGAACGCACAATCAAAAAGTAGCCTAAAAGTTCAGGAAACATTTTCGTGAAAACTACTTGTCCGATTTGCACGTTTCTTCTTGCAGGTTATTTCTTTCTGAACATTGGCAATAGTAATTTCCGATTGTTTTCGTTGAAGTTGTTCCGGACCTAAATGGAGAATTAGTCAGTTTCAAGTTGACTCGATTAAGGCTATCCTTATCTTTGTGGCAATACAGCTTGAAGAACATATACACTCCTCCAAGAAATGAACGCACAATCAAAAAGTAGCCTAAAAGTTCAGGAAACATTTTCGTGAAAACTACTTGTCCGATTTGGACGTTTCTTCTTGCAGGTTATTTCTTTCTGAACATTGGCAATAGTAATTTCCGATTGTTTTCGTTGAAGTTGTTCCGGACCTAAATGGAGAATTAGTCAGTTTCAAGTTGACTCGATTAAGGCTATCGTTATCTTTGTGGCAATACTGCTTGAAGAACATATACACTCCTCCAAGAAATGAACGCACAATCAAAAAGTAGCCTAAAAGTTCAGGAAACATTTTCGTGAAAACTACTTGTCCGATTTGGAAGTTTCTTCTTGCAGGTTATTTCTTCCTGAACATTGGCAATAGTAATTTTCGATTGTTTTTATCGGAGTTGTTCCAGACCTACACGGAGGATGAGTCAGTTTTATGTTGACTCGATTAAGGCTTTCGTTATCTGAAATACGGAATTCGCCATTGTGGTTAGTGTTAGGGCTCTTTTATTGAAATAATTGGCAACAGGGTTGTGTTGGTTCTTTGTGTCAATACAGCTCAAAGAACATATACATTCCTCCAAGAAATAAATGTATTACTAAAAAGTAGCCCAAAAGTTTAGGTAACATTTTTGTCAAAACTACTTGTCCGATTTGGACGTTTCTTGTTCTGAATTACAGGTTATTTCCTCCTGAGCATTGTAAATAGTAATTTTCCTTACAAGTGCGGAAAGTAATACTTTCCCGCACGCTAGTGGCGTTGACTCGAACGACGCGAAGAGGAGTTCGGGCAAGCAGTCCAGTGCGGGAAGACACTTTCCGCATGCGTTAGGAACAATATTTTTTCTACAAGCGAAGTGAATGGGATGATTTGTTCAATCAATCATTCCTGCATATAAGAACAACCAACATTATTGATATATTCTCTATCTTCTAATAATTAGTGATATATCTATTGTGTGTACCGTTTGAAGCATTATGTAGCTAAGCCTTTTGCGGAAGCCAGCGTGCCCGTGGTGTTTGGCCTCTAGGTTCCAGACATTTCTAGAAAATGAGCCAAAAATTCTTATTCTCTGGAACACCAATCCACTTTTTTACTATTGCACTATTCAATTAATCCGGCTTAGTGCTTCTCATACCTCTCTTGAGACTTCGTTGACAATAACTCATCTGTATCGCATCTGTAGCTGGAAGTTTTTCATCGCAATTCCACTGAATCGAAAATGACAGTAACGCTCTGTCTGTCACTCTGAGAATTACACTAATTTGTGTTTTGATTAACATGACAACAATTGTTTCCCACATCAGGCAAAAAATCCTGAAATGTTTATTCAGATTTTGCGATAATATTATATAAATGTTCTTCCCGTACTGATGTGGAAACATTTTTCCCACATTTCTGCAGGAAAATAACACTTCCCAAACTCAATCGCGTGCGGGTATGGAGTGAATCACGCACGCTTGTAGAGAAAAACTGTATCTGCAAAGAAACCTCTTATTTTATTAATACCGGTTTATAGAGTGTTTTTTCTATGGAATTTGTAATACCCTGTGGAGTAACACAGTTACGTTATCAAATTGAAATTGGAAGTACACTCCAGCCTTATCTTTTTTCAACATTCCTTTTCTGGATTCACCCCATTATCTTTCCGATTACTAGAGAAACGTCATTCTATTGCGTAACATGATTTTATGAAAAATCAATATCCGAATTAAATAACGAAAAAAACGGAACAGAATGCGAAATCACAAGTTGAACGAGAGGGTCAGTAGCAAGTATTTTCTCCGCTAGCACGAAGGACTTCTTGGCGAAGACGGCCTATACCTAAAATAAGAGACCTAATGTCAGGTTGGTCCAGGTCTTCCCAATTTGAATCATCAGTCTCTGCCGTGCGTTTCCGAAGTATTCAAGTCACGTTCCTCTTGTAATCTTGTCCGAAGAATGTCTCAGAGATTCTCAATGGGATTCAAATCCGAGCTCCGAGCTTGCCATGCTATATGATGGTAGCGATACAGACTTCCTCTAGATAATTTCTCACAACTCGGAACACGTGAGGCCTCGCATTATCTTGCATCAATAACTATCCTCACACAATATGTGGTTCTGAAATTACCGGTATGAACCAAAGGTATGCCTTTTCAGACTATGGCCTGCTACTTTCGTGCTCATAATGCCAATTGAATTCAATAAAATCATGTTATGCTATGAAATCGTGTTTCTGTAGAAATAGGAAAGATAATGGAGTGAATTTGAAGGAGGAATGTTGAAGAAGTATAAGGCTAAAGTGTAACACTCCACAGGGTATTACAAATTTCATTAAAAAACATATAAAAAAGAGGTTCTGATGCGACTACAGTTTGCACACCAATGTTTAGAAGGGAATAACCTATCATTCGAAACAGAGAAAGTCCAAATCGGAAAAATATTTTTGACGAAAATATTTCCTGATTTTTGGCTCCTTTTTGATGGTACGTAACTTCCTCGGAGAAGTGTCGTTTTGAGATGATCATTTTTTTCAAATGTCAAAAGGTGACGTTTTCGTTGTTTCAACCAATAACAATGCATTATCCTAGCCAATCATTCGGAATTATACTGAAAATTTTTAGTAAAAAATCAGAATGTCAGAAAATATGAATTTTAAAATTAACCAAAGAGTAACAAGGGGTCAAGCGCCATTTTTTTTTCATGAACATTTTTTTTAATTGGCAAAATGTCATTATAGCAATGATCATTCACACGAAAACTCATGAAGAATTATATACCGAAAATTGAAAATAAAATTTTATACAAAAAAATTCAGATTTTCTGCTGACCTGCACAATAATCTTCTATTTGGCGGTTGGCCCTTTAATGCTCTACAAGGGCGATATCATCAGACATTATTATTCTCATCAAAACTATTGTTCAAGTTCTCTCCTTCAAATATCATAAGAATGAATACAAAGTTGGTTCATCTATTATACATCAGATCTAAGTATGATTCCTCCTTTCAGTTGAAGGCATTCTACGTGGATCTCTTGGTGCCTTTGGAAACAAATTTGGAAAAAGACACCAAAGTAGTACAGGTTAGTACCCACATTACCTAATCACTTCGTTCATGGAATCAACTTTTGAGATATTCCGATCCATGCATGATTCAATGTATGCTTCTGAAAAATATTGTATTGAAAATTTAGTTTCGAGAAAATATAAGAAAAGAGCCGGTTCACAATTCTGAAGTCCTTTCCACTTCGAATACTTCAATACATCGGTACGGTTCTGGGATTCGGTTGGTATTGTGTAGAGTTATTGATAGTATACTGGGTAATTCAAGTTCGAAGGCCATCATTTGGGATCCCGATAACTAAAGGAGATACGAAGATGGTTGAATACCAGTAAAGACATATCCGTTTATAAATCGTTGAATAACGGTTGAAATCGTTGAAATACTGTTACTAGTTGAAAACTTTAACGTCGAAATTTGGTTGGAAAGATCGAAAAAATTAACACGTTATTTAGACGTTTCAGTCCCAAGAGTTCTTCACAGTGTATTGATCTACAACCACTATTTAACATTGAAGCAAAACGTGGATACTTCCAAGCAATTATTGTTTATTTCAACGTTTGAAATTCACATTTTCATAACGTCAGGTGTACTTGATACGTCGTTGAACCGTGAACTGATAACGTTCAAAATAGCAACTCTTGGTTAGCCTGAAATTTGATTCAATACCTATCATTATTTCCAGAGATCTGTAACTACTTGCCAGATATTTGATTTAGTAATATAATCATGACAACAAAATAGAATATTGTTTAACGAGCACGAAATGAGCCGTAGGCGAATGCTCTGAATCAAACGAGTGGGATTTTTGGTAATGCTGTATTATCAGATAGAGCTGTCATGGCTTGAAATTTGACAATTCATAAAAAATAAGATTTCGTGAAATCGAGAGATATCAGATACGGAAATAACATTGATGGCATAAGAAGTACTCCACAGTAAGATACGAGCCATTTCCTGTTATAGCTATAGAAAAAATATATAATATAATATTATCATTCATTTCGAAAACACTGCACACAAATCAGTCAATGAATGTCGAATCATATAAGTACTGTTGTACTCGTCACTATGACTACAATTAACCACACATTACCCAAACTGGGGTAAAATATCAAAACTCTTCAATAATCTCAAATTCACTAACAAAATACGTTGAACGCAAAGTAAAAAACTGAAAAACTGAAAATAATCCGGCTCCCTCTTCAGTCTACGGCAGACAAAATTCTTACATAGTTTGCCAAATAAACTCATAAGAAATAAGAAGTTCATAATGATTTATCGATCTCTTGTTAGCCATTCAATTGATATCAGTGAGTCTATGAGTTTCGTCGCAAAAATTTGATATATGATTCTTTTAAAGCAGTTGATCATTTGTTACCAGAAATTTTATAAAAAGTAATGCATAAATATGCCATTTGTGTATGAAAATATATGACTGACAATGTTTCCGACAATTGAATTACATCTAATGTGCATTATAATCATTATTCGCCGTACCGGTGATAATAACCTGGATGTTGATGCGTCATTTCTAGTAAAAAAAAATTCAAGGTCAACTATGTGTAATGATTTGTTGGCTGATGTGATTTGAAGAAGATAATTATTTGAATACGTTCTCACCATCTCAGTGGAGAAACAAGTTTTCATCAAGTGAATATGCACACATAATTTATTCAAATATTCATGTACATTCGTAGTCAGAACTTATGATTTACGTGGGCAGAAATAATGAACATGGCGTATAGAATGAGTGAAATGAATGCAGTTGTATGCCATTACCAACACTTGCATTCAGAGAAAACTTTTGGTATATCTTTTCAGTTTGTTAATTATTCCACTATAAAGTTCATTTGAATTGTTTGGATCTTACTCTCCGGAATGCCTTTGCCAGCGAGAGATACTTCTTCACGAGAATTGAAATCTTCAATAGATTTATTTCTTTCATTCACGAAGCTGATTCATTGTGAATTAACCAACATGTTGGTTCTATGTGGATGATATTTCTGTTAGATTGGGCATCACAAGTATGCAAAATCAAAGATATGCAAGAGTGTGCAATTGATTCAAGAGTACATTTCAGTTTGATCTATGAAATGTTTGATTATCGCCAAAACAAAAATATTGCTGATCCAAAAATCAGACGGCACTTTTTCCCAATGTGCCTGATGAGAATGTTGCTGGCTTAGGAGATACAGGGTGATCTAGGGGGATATTGTATTTCAAAATTTCACAATAACTTTGTTAGTTTTAACAACATGAACATGGAATGCAGAGATATTGAAATAAAATCTTCTCCTTAACCACCCTGTACCTTTTGAACCAGCAATATTTTTATGAGGCATGTTGGGCCTAATATTCATATTTTGGTGTTTACTATCTGTCGTTCAGAGATTTCCCATTCTTTATTTGATAAATAAAATTATCGAAATGTCATAAGTGGAGAATGAATCTCTTCAAAAGCGAATAACACAAAACTAACAAAGTTATTATGAAATTTTGAAGTAGAATCTCCCCCTAGAACACCCTGTATCTCCTAAATCAGCAACACTCACATGATGAGGCATATTGGGTTAAATCTCATTATTTTTGTGTTTACTATCTGTAGTTCAGAGATTCCCCATTTTTAATGAATCACCATGGATAGAAGGGCGATGTTCTGGAATTCATCGCGTTAGGAAGTTTTTCCAAGAACTGATAATCTCCAAAAGTCCAAACAAAGAATGAGAATAATTCATGTCCATGAATGAAATGATGATCATTTCCATACAACCTGATCCTCGGCGTGAAATAAATAAGTTTTTTCATATTAATGTGATATTCTGTTGATTTTCTCATTTATGTTTGGATAATCAAAATTGCGAAGTCATACTATAGATTCACTTCAGCAGATCAATTTGTCAAATTACATCTTTATTGTTATTTTGGTTTCAGCAAACAAAGAATTGAATCAAAATCTAGATCACTTCCAAATCTCAATTGAATATAATAATTATTCGAAATATGAAAATGGGATATCTGAGATTGCTCTAATGATGATGGAAAGAGTCTCATTCAGTGAACATTTGAATTCAATACATGTGATCCTCAAACTGTTGTATTCAATGTATTGATCACCTTTCATTGTCGAACAATGATTTTTTGATGTATGTCTGATGATGGACATATCTATGTTCGAAATATGTAGCCGTTTGATTCTCACATTGAATTATTATGATGTCTGATATTCGAAGGCATTCCACATTTTCAGTTGGGCTGAATAGAAGTTTCGACATCACCGTTTCATACAGGCTATTTGCGAGAAGGATATCAATTTGATTTCTCACTCTGAGAACCATATCGGCGTTCAGTTTGAAAAACAAAAACAAAACGCGAAAATATCAAAGTTTTGCCATCCAACTCTTTCACCAGAAACTTCGGAACTCTATCTCAGTAAACTCGTCTAGAAAACGAGAACGATGGTTTATAAATTCTCCTGTTAAGAGTATTGGAAACTCCACCTCAAGGGTTTGAATTTCTTAATCTTGCTTATGAATAATTTTGTGTAGTCTTTCAATGAGCGGAGAGATGCAATAAATCCTTCTTGGATTTATATTCATCGTATTTTCTAGAATACCCTCGACAACGATTATAATTTGATGCTTTCATACTCCAGTCTTATAGTGAGGAACATAATATTTAAGTATGTACCTATGAAGTAGAGTTAGTATCTATAACTAATTGATACATACTATAATATCATTGCTGCTCTGCAATGTTTCACTTGCAAATTCTTTTTTTATTGAAAACGGTATATATTCATTTAACGTTCATAATTCACGAATTCTGGTAACACAGAGACAGCTCCTTCAAAATATGTGTACATCTGGTTTTAACTAGCCTCAATTTATTTTTTTATGACCAAATTTCAAGGATTTCGTCTTGGTTTTTGACTACCATACTACGATGTATCATCGACAATCACCTGGAATGATTTTGCTTCCTGTATCTTAAAGGTCATGAGTTCAAGCATTCAATCAGAGTCATATTTACATTCATTCTTTGCCAAATTCATGACAATATTTTGTTTCTCAGTTGCCATCAGCGAAGAGAGATTATATTTTTCCATATGTGAATTGTCAAGAAATAGATACAATTTCTCATTACTCAGACTGATTCTGCTATTTGCAAGATATATAGTAATTTATGCACGACCGGGCGTACAGTAGTACAATAGGCATTTCTGTACAATTCAGGACATTCATGTTCCAGTTTTGATGGTCCCTAATATAATATCACAGTTCTTTAGATATTCCTGAGATGCAAGATGCTATGATGAAACTCAAAATGAGTTTTCTGTGATGACAATGATTGACAGCGAATATAATAGTCTACTCCTAATTCAAAAAATTGATTGAGTTGCCATGGTAACGTCGATTCCATCAATGATATTCCTCACCGCAGCCATGATGTATTTCTATCGCTCTCGAGAGGCGAAGAAATTTTCACAACGAAAAATCGAATGTACCTATCGCGCATAAAATGTGTATATTTCTGGAGTAACTTGATTTTATGGACCTATATATAGGTATATATTGAAAACTGGATCCTTCGGCACACTACACGCTGTTTTACCACTACATCTTCATGAGCCAAAATATTTTTCAATACAGACAAGAATTTTTTCAGCAACATGAAGGTACATCTATTGGTAATTGTTCATCACCTTTCTTGTCTGGACTGATATTGAATCGGTTGAAAACGAACGCAAAAGAAGAATTTGAGTATATCCCTAGGGTTTGAATTAGATATGTCGACGATATTTTTACTATTTTGATACGAAAATCGAAGATATAGATAGCTTTATTCCACAATCGAATAATCGGGTTTCCTCTATCAAATTCATTTTTGAAAGAAAATAACGGTCTTGTGATCAAATATGAAAAAAACAACTTAGAATTTGATGTGAAAACTTCACAAACGATAAGATCTCCACAAAATTTTGTTTTTTTACAAGTAACGGCCAAGTCAATTCAAAATAGATACATAACTAATGACTTCAATCACTGTTTTCAACACAAAATGTCAAGTTCAAATTTCCTAGTACATAGACAAGTTCTATTTATTCTGAGCAAACAAAGATTCGATGTTGAAAGAAGGGTTGTCCATAAAATGGCTGGTGTCAATGGTTATAATATCAAAATAAAATAAAGTTAACACTTCGATATTTACGACTGTTCAAGCGGATAAAAACAATTCGAGAAGAATCTCAATCTCGTTCAATTCCAAGTACACGGCAGAACTTGATAAAGTTTTCAAAGTCTTAGGTTTTGAATGCGTTTATCAGACCGAGTCAAAATTAGGCAATTTATTAGGCGATCCAGCAGATAAGGTGGACAAACTCGAAAATCCAGGAATATACGAAATTAGTTGAAATGATTGTGAAAAACATAAATATAGGCCAAACCCCGCGTCAAGAAATGTGAAATTGCGCTCACTGTGTTGTGATCTGTATGTATTGTTGGTGCATGTGTGCACACATCAAATGGCCATCGACATCACGAGAAGTTTTTCAGAGTTCAGTTCAGTTTTTGTTTCTGACTCCACTCTCAACTATGAATCGTACGGAACTATATCCGGCCGAGGATACGGAATTGCAAAATGAAAAATCTCTGCCCTACCAGGCACTCACGACCTTTGGTTCGCCAGTCGAGATTGTCTTGAAGAGATATACAGACACCATCATTATGATTACAAGTTAAAAATGAAACTAATGGATGATCAGGATCATTTTGTTGCTGATGAAATTCCGATTTGGATAAATATTCTAATTGTCATTGTCTCAGTGATTTAATTTCCTTGATGGAAAATGTCTCCATAATCATCAATTCATGTTATTTTATTCTGCCATCATTGATGATAGTAGATTTTGAAAACATTGAGTGCCTTTTATATCACAAATTCAACTGTGAAATACCAATCCTTGTACCTATTCCACTTGATTACACCATACTGACCCTCCTAAGCTTTGTACTTGACCAATATTTCTGATGAACCATCTAGCACAATCAACATCCGCCTCAAACCTTAGATTGAGTTGGATATCTTGTTGTTTCAGTCGGAGCAGAAGCGATTTCTCCAACAACACAAACAACGGTCAGAGACTTACAGCAAGGCGGCAGCCATGATGAAGAAACAAAGGAAAAAGTCCAGAGGGTCCACTAAAACTGGCTTGGCCATGGATAAGGAACTCAAGGTAATAGCTGTTACGTTTTATTGGGTTTGTTTGTTTTGCTTGCATCAGTGCTGCGCCAGTGTTGTTTGGTGAGATAAGGGTTCAATTAAACGGAGGTCTCAGATTGGGTGGGCCTTATATTGGTAAAAAGTGGTGAAATTATATCAGATAGTAATCGGCAATAGTAGTTAATGGACATAAAATAGTTATTATATGCAACGATCATGTAATGATAGCTATTAATAATACGCGAGCATGAATTCACTCACGATACGAGCCGAAGTCGAAATCTGATCATCATCATTATGGAAATCCGTGTTGACATGAACACTATTAGGAAATCTGTAGCAGCTATTCATTCAGATCGCGTATTGTGAATACGGGAGTAGATGAATGTGTTTTTTCACCACTTGCAGGAACAAAATTGAAAATCTAAAAAATGTGTTGGGAGGCCATGTTTCAGTATTTAGGCATAACTTTCAATTGTGAACAACTTTTCTCGATAGCATTTTGCTGAATTTCATGAAATAAGGGTACTTTACTCTTGAACAATTTTTATATTTATTGACCTACCCTGTATGCTGTGTGACTTGCAACCATTCTAAGTGCATCTAAAATGATTACCCAACATGCACCAACTTCCGGTACTATCTGTATTTTGCTTGTGCAATTCATTAAAAAGATTCCCATATGTTGCACACTTAAATGACCACACTGTAAATCGACGCGTCCATGCCAAAACTGCACAAATGCTATCGAGTCAACTTTACAGGAGAGACAAAAAATGATCAACTTTTCTCGTAATTGCCACAAAAATCTGCTTGATGTCTTGAATGAGAGATTGATTTTTTTCATTATTTTAGTTGAATGTCTGATGAAGACTCTGGTTCTCCCCTTCATACAATAAATTGAAAATTGAAAAAATGGCGCTTTTGCCACTCCACAAAAGTGTGAACTTTTGGAAATTATGAGTTCTTGGGAATACTTTCACTTTCAGTAATAAACCCTGTGAGATATAAATATTGACTGTGATTAGAATCAGTGTCATCAGTTCATTACTACATATTATGGCGGAAGTTACATTGCGTGTCCGCCAAAACCTAAAATCGTGATCATAGACATGATGGCACTATCGAGGGCTAAGAGCAACAACCGCGTAACTACTGTTTCATGAATTCCGAGATAATCGCAAAAGAACACGGACGCTACCTAAAAATTGTGTTGATGAATATTGTAAGTACATAACCTTCGATATTTTTCAATGACAATGATCAATCATTCTTCATTTATCAATGACATGATCGAAAATTGTACCTCCGCTCTTCATTTCACCTGAAAAATATTAATTTTCATCGAATGTCGCAGTTACGTCATTGATGCTCTAACATATGTTTCGTCATACGTTACGTTCGATCAAATCAAAATGGTTTATGCACTTCAGGGATTCGAAAAGTACCTTTATTCCCTATTTTCGGGGAAAAAAGTGGTACTTTGAACCCCTAGGGATTGAATGTTACTTTAAATCCCCGTTGGTCGGGCTATATACTTTTGTCTCGGGATTTAAAATACCACTTCAGTCCCTAGGTGTATAATAAACTAGTATTACCGGAAATCATAAAAAATAATGAAAACTCTGGTGATTCAAAAAATATTTATTCATATGATCATGCCGATGTAATATATTTATCATTATAAAAGCAAAAATCTTATTCGAAAAATAATCGAATGAGTAATACAACTTAATTCATCTGTTCTTAGAAAATTTAAAAAATGAGAAGATTCTTCTTGCAATGTGAAGATGAATATTCATTCCATCATTGCTATCCTCGCGAATTCAAATGCTGACCAATGATTCATAAAAGTGATGATATTGGCTGGGAATGATTTTTTTGTTGCATAGTTCTTTCAAGTTTTGCATCTTTTCTTTGCTGATTGGTATGGGCTGTGAATAAGCTTCCAATAAAGTAATGCTTTTAGTTTGTGTTGCCCGGGAAACACGTCGAATTATTTGGATTTTCCTGAAATTCTCCTCTGTTTTTCGGTACTTGAAATAAATATGTTCTGGATCATCTTTCCTATATTGCAGCCATGTTATATTCAACCAGTTAACATCATTACCGTTAGTGTCTATATTTTTGTTTTTTAGGATTTCCTTCCTTAGTGTCTTGAAACACTTGATATCAGGTTGATCTATTTCATATACTGTATAAGGATGTTTCTTGCAAGCAGATCGGACTAATGCGTACCAGCCCGAGGGATCGAATATGTCCACATTTTTCTTCTTTTTTTCAATCTGAGCATGAATGTTGTCAACCTCCATTTGAGAGTGTCCAGGTTCGAAAAACATTTGATTTATTACTGGAATGTCCAAATATTTCACAGCATGAATGCAAAAAGCAGCAACGTTTGCATTTCGATTTTGTCCACCACAGGTGTCTGAAAAAAATACGACTTCCTTATTGATTCTCTCCATCTGTAGAAAGTGCCACAAACAAGATGCCACCTCATTGGAACCACGATTTGCAATACCTTCGTGCCACATGTAGCATACTGTTTTTTTATCCACAACATTGAGAACTGTGAAGTTATATACAGCTAAACGACTCTTGTGAAAAAGAGCTTTAGCATTAGTTGCTGGAGTATAACACACAGCTTCAAGGTCAAATTCAATCAAAACACATTCTTCTCTCTCAGCTCTTTCTTTCGCATCATTCTTGAATTTTCTAGCTTCGATTTTTCTCAACACATGCTCGTCATAATCCTCCTGTATTTCTCTTTTTTCTTCTGGTTTACTATGCTCAAAAACGTAACAAGTGTCACACATATCTTTTCTTGGCTTATGGAATGACATGTTGAATTCAGTCTTGAATACCGACCTGTAGTACCACAATTTTTCTGCTCTTCTACCGTTCTCTTCACAGTGTTGTTTATAAAGATCGTACATTATATTCAGATTGAGGTCCTTTTCTAAATATTCCTTGTTTGTATCTTTCCTGGTATAATGCGATGGTACTCTGGGAAATGAGTTGATGTGATCCTTTATGAAGTTTCTTGCATCCAATGGAATTTTGTTTGCACTCTCACATTTCCCACGCCTCGATTTTTCAATGAAATAATTTGTATTTCTGGATTTCATGATATGGTAAACCTTTGATTCCGTTATCCCTAAAGAAGACAGAAAAAATCCTTCACACACGACAATTTTTGTCCCATTTTTGCTCAAATGGTAGATGTGTGTACTTTTTCTCCTGGAATTCTCTTTACCAGATTTCTTAGTTTCTTGTGAAACTAATGAACCTATGAATTTGTTCTGATCTTCTTCGTCTCCAAGTTTCCAAAATTGTTGAAAAATTTGACTGGTTTCTTCTTCAGAAAATGCTCCATTGCAATTCCTTGGACATTTAGAGCAATCCTTATATTTCATCGATTTTCCTGGGATAAACTTTTTTCGCGATGACATATAAGGTAGCCCTGCTTGCCTTTGAATCTTTCTTCGATTTCTTATCCATGTTTTTGGTGCAGCTGTACGATTTCTAGACCTCTTTATAACAGTCCTATCATTTTCATTTCGATGTTCTTCGCCTTGTCTTTCATTCTCGGTTATATTATTTGCTATGTTATCCTCCTGCTCATTCATATTATCATTTATTTCTTCTTCTCTGTCCCCATTCATATCCATTTCCATATCATTATCCAACTGCTCATCTGTCTCCTCATCCGATGATACTGATTTCTCTTCCCCGGGTGTCCATTCTTCATCAGCATCATCATCTCTTGCCTTATCATCTTCAGTATCCTCATTCGTTTCTTTATTTCCGTCCCTTTCACGTCCCTCATAATCCCATAATATTTCTTCAACTCCTTCTGTATTCCACTCTGTTCCATCGGGAGCTTGAATTATTTCAATGGCAACATTAGTCAGTTCCGTATAAATGAGTTCTCCATTCCTTTGTTCAACTATATCTTGTCTATCTTCATCATCCATATTGATGGCAGTTTCTTCAGCGGCGGAACTCTTTTCTGAATTTTCAATAATTGTATTGTCTAGTCGATTATTGAACACATTTTCACTACCTGACAAAGGATTAGAGGTACATTGTCTCTCATTCTCCGTTTCGATTATAGTGTTATCATCTTGAGCAATATGTTTTTTGTGTTCATCTAAACCTTTCTGCATAATTTTGAAGCTTCTACTGTTATGGTCCATTATACCTGAAATAATGAGATTACCTATGAACCTATATTGTGAAAAAGAGTGGATAACAAAAGTAATCGAATATGATGTATGCCATACCCACTCTATGAAAAGTGATGCGTCACTTTTCAATGATTAGAACATAACAGAAAACAGGAGCCACAAAAAGTATTTCAGTTCTGGATGAAACGAACAGTGCTCTCTATAAATGAAACTTCATAACTAAGATGGTTACAACGCATCAATAAGTAATGTCTTCAATAATGAAAACATGACAATCATTCAAAGAAATTCTTCATTGGGAGGTGAATTACTTCTATTGGCTCGATGGTTTTGTCGAATACCATCAAACTGACGATAATGCTGATAATTATATGGATGGACTTTACTTCATCAAGAACATTGTTTCATTATTTCCGAAACACATAATCAGTATCGGATGATGCCAAATGATTATGATCGCCTGATCGCGCAAAAAAAATTATTCATTTCATAGAAATACAATTATAGAAGATAGGTATTTTCACAAAAATCAATTGAATATTCCGATGAAATGAATGATTTATTCCGACATTTACAAATAAATCTTCATTTGATCAAGACAACTGTTTTTCCTGTGTAGCGAAGTCGACCCTTCTTGAATATTGCGATGCACAGCCGCCTCATAACCTCAAAAATTGAATCCAATATTGATATTATTATATTCAATCAGTATACATTATTATTTCATTATTATACATCGACACCATTCTTCCACACAATGAAAGAGCATAAATTATAACAAATCCATAATGAACGAATCAGCACTTACCTGATGATTTATTTTTTATTGTTCAGCTCACGAAAAACATTCGACAAAAACAGAAAATGCTGAGATTCCTAAATCTGATTCATTACTTCATTAGAGCAATAACAACGTATCCCATGATACTCTATTGTCGCGCCAATTCTTTCAGTTACGATATAGAGCAACAATAGCGTATGCTGAGATACGTGGTTGTTACACTAATTTTCGGGGTATAAATGCGATACAGAATTTGGAAAAACCGTTTAAATATTTTTATATCAGAAACTTGATTGTTGCCCTCAAAAATATGCACTACGATGAGTTACGTGGCGTAGTAACCAGAAATCAACGTTTTTTTCAGTTACGCGGTTGTTGCTCTTAGCCCTCGCTATGTAATAGATATTTACGTAATCAGTTAGGAAACGCGTTGTTTTGTGTAACGATGGGATTTTGCGGGACGAGCGAAGCGAGATCCCGCAACATCACAGAGTTACACAAAATGGCGTTTCCTAACGTGTCACGTACAATATTTTTTCTAATTTTGACGAAACATTTCGCATGAACAAAAATAATGACCAGTTTTACATGAGTTCTGCCGACTCTTGTTGTGTGAAATGAATGAATGAAATGAACATTACATCACCAGTTATGTGAAATTTTACTTTACGCAACTGGTTACGTAAAGTAAGACGTTTCAAAACTTCCGTCAGTTTTGAAAAGGGTCACATTACATGTCAAAATTAGAAAAAGGTTATATTACTTGATTGATTGAATATATGAATATTTCAAATATCATTGGGAGTTTGACATACTATGCAAGAAACTTTTGATAACAGATATTAGACATTGTTCTCACGAATTTATTTGGTGTGAATATTTGTGTATTTAATTCGTGAGAAAGGGACAAACTATGTGCATCAAGATAATGTCAAAAGCATATTATGCATTCATTAACCAAATTGAGGAGAAATAAACATTCTTGTTAATATTAACTATGAATATCTGAAGAATATTGCCAAGGCATCGGTGATTCTTCGAATACCCAAAAGGATTTACCATTTCCGTTTCACTTGGGTATAAAGATGAACACGAAAATCACATTATGTCCTTACCCTTGATGTTGAAATTGGCCTGAATATATACACTTTATTCATCTCCGTATATAGATCATCCACGATGAATAAATCCAATGTATACCTCTTCTGAAAATCATCTTACAAGAAAGTATCAAAATGAATGAGGAAATCTCATTTTGTTACAGAATATGCAAGTACTAGAAGAGGAAAAAACGAAATTGGATGCTTTCTGTGAACAAAGTTTGAAAAATGTGAGTATACCTTTGTATCTTCTCCATTTCTACGAATGATCGTTCATGATCATTGTATGCAAATCACAAAAAATGATATATTTCTTGATTTTTCTAGGCAATGACTCAGGAAAGAAGGAGGTATGGTTTCGTCCTAGAGCGACAATGCTCTCTATCTAAACATTATCTCTCTTACTATGGTCACGGAGTTGAAGCCTATCAAGAAAACATCGAAAAATGGTCTGACGTCGCTAAAACTAGAGAGTACCTGCCAGAATCCGTAGAAAATATTTTCAGTAATAGACTAAGGGTGAGTAAATTGATGGTGAATATTTTGTCTAGTCGGCGTTGAAGTCCACAAATCCATGATGAGATTTGAAATAATATAAATAGAGACAGAAGATTCAATCAATTTCTTATTATCTTAATCTTTCAATTTTCCATAAACCTTTCCACACCGATATCACTATTCATAATAATTTGATACACCCTCATCAACATAAAATTGCAACATAAAGTATGATACACAGGCTGGTGAATGTCCCTCTTTCGGAAGTGAATTTCAATGAAGAACTCAATATCATATATAACGGATTGCAGTCAACAACGGATACAACGTTAGGTTGATAGACAGTATTATTTCTAAAGAACTTCATAATGAAGCTATTCGAGGAGTTGATTCTACCATCAAGAATAATAATCAAAATTATATTACTTCAACCTATTTCGGATCATCAACTGAAAAATTAGCTTCATTTCTACATAAACAAGACTTCAAAGTAGCGTATAGAACAAATAACATGTTGGGAAGATTTATCAAGAATAATAAAGACAAAACTTCTGAATTCGAGAAATCAGCCGTTTTGACCGATAATGAGTAGTTTTGACAAAAAAAAATCCTAAAGTAAAAATCTCGATTTTGAACACCCTATATCACAGTAGTCATTCTTGCTAGACCCAGGTGTGATGAATCGATGAAATCAGATTTTTAGAGAGAATCTGAAAATTCAATTAAATACAGGGTGTTCTATTCAAAATAAGGAAGTTGATAATAATTCCGGAATAACTGAAAAAGTGGCAACATCAACGATAACATTTTCAAATCGACCACGTTTTGAAATCATTCTTAACATAATAATATAGGTATTAAAAAAAAATCTAACAAACGGTTACCGAGACATTCACCTGGTTCCATACTTTTGCTCAACCCTGTATAAAGCTGGTATATATAAGTTCTATTGAGAAAAATTTACTTTTCATTCAAAATTGAAAACGGTAACATGATTCTTGTGCTGAAGTTATTGTTGAACAAATAATCACAAGTAGAAAATTGAAATAAATATTACTGAAAACATGAAATATCGAATCAGTTATATAATTATAGTTTCCTAACGAAGAAATGGGTACTGACAAAATTCATTAGCCTTGCATCAAGTTTCCAGAAGGTAATAACGATTTCTATTGTTCCTCCTTCTAGTTACAACTGAAAGAAGCTTTTCGAAATTAAAACTGATAAAACAATAGGTATCTTATGACTTCAATGGAACAAGAACGGTTAGGTATCAGACTTGTCAGTACTGTCTATGGAGGGAGAACAACAGAAATCGTCTTCAGCTGTGGATGATTGAATAAGTTGTTAGGATGTAGGATAAATCGATATTCATTATACAGGGCGTTGAATCAAAATTCTGAATCGAGAAATCCCATCACGCATCTGCGATTAGAGGTCCATAAGAATAACAAGTTTCAATGGTTCAAGTTTGAATCCCTTGATTGGGTATGAAAGTATTGAGGAGGAATATTCTCAGATATATGATTGAAGTAAGAAAAAGGTTATATATATATATATATAAAGGAATACATTGAGAATTGAGAATACAGTCAATTTCTCGCTTATTTAAAGGATAATTGAAAGATTCAAGAACTGCATTGAATGGCATTGAAGTACCTTTCTAATAACATATAGAAGAATCTGTTCCATTCGACAGTTCTCTGACAGCTGTCCCATACTTTTAATCTCCAAATGCTACCCTCTGTATATCGTCATTGAAAATAATTGCGTGTCATCCTGGAAGGAAAAGAATATACTTGATATTTTCTCGTATTTATAACAACAAAAACTGCAACATATTATAATGTATGAATATCAACTAAAATATCTCTTATGCAAATTTGCAATAGAAATAAAAATCACAACAAGTGTGTGAAATCGTGTAGTCATGAGATGTATCGGCTTTTTGAAGCGGGGGAAATTTTCAACTTCTATAAGGATAATTGAAAAACTTGAAACAAGTCACAAAATGGTGGTATTTTTGTTGTTATCAACAGGAAAATACCAAGTATATGCTATCGTGTATTCGTAATTGAATGCCACGTGATTTCCAATGACAATATACAGAGGAGATGCCACTTCAAAATAAGAAGTGGTGGATAGCTGCCAGAGAACTGTCAAATGTGATCTTCCATATATCATTAGGAAGGTACTTTGATGCCATTCAATGAAGTTTTCGATTCTCGTCGTTTATCTTCTCAAATAGGAGAGATATGACCTGTATACGACACGATAACTTTCTATCGGTATATTCAACAAAAAGCAACTACTTTCCTGTTGATATGCCACGACGAATATTGAATTATATCTATTGAACACAAACATTGAGAATATGAAAGTAAAATCTTCTGAAGTTGAAAAATTGCAATTTTCTTCAGGAAGAAATGAACATGCACATGATACCATTCTCAATAATCAACAGAAATCAACTACTTCCTGGCAATTTGCCACGCCGAACATTGATTTATATCTGTTGAAGATCCGAGAAGAGAACATGGAAATAAAATTAATTCCTATGAAATTGAGAATTCACATTGTCTTTCATATCGGATAAATAATATATTTATACTTTTCAAAACTGAAGGATCAAAACTACTTGTCCAGAGGTGGAATGAGTCTGTATTTTCGGAAAGTACGCAGAATAATCTGATTGAATCAGGTGTACCAACTGGATCAACTTGGAATGGAATTTTCGCATGTGTTGATTATCCATAAATGATTTTTTCTGCGTGTGAAATATCGAAATTCTCATCAGAACTATGGTTTTCTTCTGATATATGGTTTGCATATGTTGAAATTGTTTTTTTTTTCAAGAAATGTATCTGAATGTTCATGAATGCGGTGATTTAACTTTTGACCTGTCTGACCGATGTTTACCTCAAGATAAGACCCACAGACAGGTTTAAATACCCTCTCCGTATTTGCAGAGTTTGGTCTTTATTATTTTTGATAAACCATCCCAGGGTGTTATTTGTTCTATATGCAACTTTTAGTCCCATATTCACGTATATATAGAAATGAAGCTTTAATGTAGAAATGGAGCTAATTTTGGACAAACCTAGTATGCTCTGTCTCTATGTATCATACAGACATGAATTAGTTGAAGTTTGAATTCTGAAATAGTGTGGTGATTTTCAGCAAATATCTGTGTGGCAAGACGACGACCTCTACTCCAACCCAAGAAGTCCGAACTTCGAAGACGATCGCATGAGCATCAACTCTCAGCTGAGGAAGACGAAGAGTATGGACGCTTCTTGCCTCGACATCCGTTCCATCGGCGATGCCGGATCCCCTGTCAGCACGCTTAACAGGGCGAAATCCGAGTACAATCTCAATTCGTCCACACATTCACTTGCTCAAGGTAATTTGATGTTCCAAAAAATTGTTCCATACCGAAATTGAAATTAGAATCAATAACTTTTATCGGAATTGCATCGCGAAGTCCTTTTCCGTTGACCTCGTATCAACGAGTGTGTTTGATAATAATAATAATTATTATGATAATAAAGTTTAGTATGATACGATGATTCAGATATACTTGTTTCGTACAACAAAATATTCAACAAGTCACGATATGATACTGAGACAAAAAAAAACAATATTATTTTTCAAAAAATAACGTACATACTGACATAACGAACTAGCTCATGATAATACTACTACTGAATCAATACTACTGATAAATACCAAATAATAGATATTTACGTAATCAGTTAGGAAACGCGTTGTTTTGTGTAACGATAGGATTTTGCGGGACGAGCGAAGCGAGATCCCGCAACATCACAGAGTTACACAAAATGGCGTTTCCTAACGTGTCACGTACAATATTTTTTCTAAATTTGACGAAACATTTCGCATGAACAAAAATAATGACCAGTTTTACATGAGTTCTGCCGACTCTTGTTGTGTGAAATGAATGAATGAAATGAACATTACATCACCAGTTATGTAAAATTTTACTTTACGCAACTGGTTACGTAAAGTAAGACGTTTCAAAACTTTCGTCAGTTTTGAAAAGTGTCACATTACATGTCAAAATTAGAAAAACTTCATTTTCAGATCACAGCTATTCGAACACTTTCAACAAATCGATTCTTCCGCTTCGTAGCAAATATTTCTTTGATTCGTTTTTGGAAGATATGATGTTTGTAATTGAGATCATTTTTTCAGAAATCGAGTTATGAAGTTTTGGAACGAAGTAGATATGAAAATTCATAATTTCAGATTTTTTGGGATTTTTTCTCCTTGTTTCTTTGAAATAAAAATGAAAATATTATTTCAATATACGTGTAGTAAAGACAAATCAGATGATTTGCCGCAAAATTTCACTATGTTTGAAGATTTCTCCTATCAGAAAGTCTGAAAGGAAAATTCACTAGCTTGTCAGTGACAATTTGTATTGAAGAAGTTTTGGAGGAGAGAAATAGGAGTATATAGAAAAACTATCAAATTATTTTCAAATTATACAATATTGGCATAGGAGGTTTTCAGCACGGATGGTTTTCATCATATCTCTCAAATCGAAGACAAACCGTGAAAATACCTCATTCAAGTGACAACCATGATAAATATTTCTCTTCGGATCAACTGTCAAACAATATTGGAGTGCCCCAAGAATCTGTTTTGGGGCCTATTCTGTTCATTTCATACATAAACGATTTGTTCTCTGTTTCACCTAACTCATTGATGTGCTTGTATGCTGATGATTCCTCTCTTCAATTTGGATCCGATGATCGAGTAGAGCTGCAACAGAACATTGATTCGGATTTGAATAATCTCCAAAACTGGTTTTGTGATAACTCTTTGTATTTGAATACTTCTGAAACAAAAGCTGTTCTTTTCCATTCTGCTCAAAATACTAATGATGTTAATCCAAGTGTTAGAATATCAGATGTTGTGGTGGAAAAACGTGACTGTGTGAAATTCCTAGGTGTTTTCTGGATAGGAATCTCAATTTTCGTGCACATTGCACTCAATTCAACTTGTTGGGGTACCTGAGAAGAATTCTTGATAATTCAGGTTTACTCCTTATTTTGGAAAAATTCAATCCAGACTCAGCTAAGGGCTATGGACTCATTGTCTGGGGAAATTCTCCATCAGCACGATGTGTTTTTTTAACAAAAAAAACGAATTATCAGGATAATTGTGAAAGTACCACCTCTAGAGTCATGCCGAAATCTGTACAAGAAGTTCAAAATATTACCTTTAGCAGGTCCTTGTATCATGAAAATTCTAATTTTATTACACAATAATAAAGATAATTTCATAGAAAATAATCATATCCACAATTATAATAACAGGAACCAAACAGATTCCATTTGCCTACGACACAATTTTCTCTGTGTCCCTGACCTCTTCCGAATCTCTGGGACTCAGGGCATATAATGCTATTCCAGGAAGTATAAAAATGTTCAAGTAATGAGAAACTCTCTAAATATAAATTAATGAATCTCCAGCCCATATACAATTGATGAATTTTTTACATTTTTACAGAACTGATGATCTTAATTTGTAATGTTTTTATTTTATTTCAGTCTTTTAACCATATTGTTAGTTATTTGAATGTGTATTTGTATTTTTCGTGTATTTTGACTTGTCCAATGGCTTTTGTAAGCTCGCTTCAATGGATCAATGAAACTACTACTACTACTACTACTACCTTTTGTACGCTTCATGAGATGAAAAAAATATGCCTACGACACGATTGTCTCTGTGTCCAATTCTCTCGAATCTCTGAGACTTTGGGCATATAATGCTATTCCAGAGAATATGAAATGTTCAAGTAAAGAGATAGTCTTTAAATATAAATTGAAGAATCTCCTCTTTGAAATAAGCCCATATACAATTGATGACTTTTTTTCATTTTTACAGAACTGATGATCTCAATATGTGATGTTCTCATTTTATTTCAGTCATTTCACCTTATTGTTAGTTATTCTAATGTGAATTTGTATTTTTCGTGTATTATTTTGACTTGTCCAATGGCTTTTGTAAGCTCGTTTTAATGGATCAATAAAACTTCTAGATAATCGCAGGCAAAGAGTTAAGATTAATTCCTCCTTGTCAGATGAAATTGTAATCACTTCTGGAGTTCCTCAAGGTGCTCATTTAGCACCCTTACTGTTCAATTTATTTGTTAATGATGTATCTTCTTGCTTTGAGTTATTATATGCTGACGATATGAAAATATATCTAAAATTGGAGAGACCCTCCTCCTCAACTCATCTTCAAGAGGACTTGGACAGGTTCTCTGTGTGGTGCCACAAGAAAAAACTAGTTCTTAATATTCCAAAATGTAAATATATTCGTTTCAGCAAAAATCACACCATAATTAACAATGATGAGTACTCCTTAAATGATGTAGTCATTGAAAAGGTAGGCATTATGAAAGATCTTGGTATACTTTTTGACTCTAAACTTAGCTTTATTCCTCATATTGAATTTATCTGTAACAAAGCTTTGAAGATGCTAGGGTTCATCAAACGATCAACAAAGGACTTTCATAATATCGTGGCATTGAAATCCCTTTACTTTTCATTGGTACGCTCTCAACTTGAAAATAGCAGCTCTGTGTGGTGTCCTGCCTTCCAAGCTCATATCATGAAAATAGAAAGAGTTCAGAAACGTTTATTGTGTTATATTGGTTTCAAGCTCGGTATTCCTATGGAAGAATTTGATTATGACAATATTTTAAATCATAAAACATAAACATAAAAATCCTAGAAGAGCGTAGAAGCAACAATGACATCATCAATTCATATTCAAAAATTATGTAATAATCAGATTGATTGTCCTGAATTATTGGCCTCCCTAAAATTTCATGTTCCTCAAAAACGATTACGTTATAGCAGCACTTTCAATTTAGAAACTCATAGAACTATATATGCAAACAATAGCCCGATAAACAGGATGATGACGCTGAGTAACAGAGTGAACTGGGACATTTTTAACACTGGCACTGAAAGAGCCAAACGCATTCTTGCAATGATGTAATGTTTTTATTTTTAGTGTTCATTGTATTTAAAGTGTAGATATGTATAAATCAATCAATGTTCTGTGATATGTTGTATAGGCTATATATATTCATGTTTTTTTTACACTGGGTTCACCCGTTAATAAATAAATAAATAAACTTCTACTACAACTACCTTTCGAGCGCTCCATGAGATGAAAAAATGTGTTGAATAGTGTTCTTATTTTTTGTAGACCACACTCCAACGCGCCGTCCGAAATCAATGGCCGTCCCCCCACCGCCGTCGTGGGACACGCAATTCGCCCGCGCCCTTTACGCTTACATGTCCAGCGGAGAAAACCAACTCAGCTTCCTCGAGGGCGACCTGATAGCGCTGATAGGGGAGCGCAACAAGGGGTGGCAGTTCGGGGAGAACCTGCGGACGCAGGGCAGCGGCTGGTTCCCTTTGGCTTACACCGAGTTCCTGGAAGATCCCACAGCGTGAGTATTTCATAACAAGTATTAGTATTGTTATATTTCCCTTAGAGGGGCTCCATACCTTTTCAACTTCAATTTCAGAATCGGTAGGTTATATTTCGGAAAAGGTAAACTCTGATTCAGAAATGGTTGACTCAATTCCAGAATCGGTGAGATGAATTTCAGAAAATGTCCATTCAATTTCAGGAATGGTAAGTTATATTTCAGAATTGGTTAGTTCAATTTCAGGAAGAGAAGTTCAACTTATTGAAATGAATAATCCTGATCACACATTCACTATGAATTCACTATATGAATCTCAGTTCATAGGATGATGAGCTTGCATCCTACAGATAATATAGTGGTGGTTGTTCTGGATAATGCAACTGCACATTCAAGAATATACAGGGGAGATTTGCATGAAGGAAGGACTCCAAGATGTTTTTATTTGCAGATTGGCACATTACAGCCCCCAATGTTGAACCCAATAATTGAACATATTATGGAATACCTTCATGTCAGAAGTGAAGAACTTCTTGCAAGAGCATCACCAAAGGGTCATAGCCGCGAATCCAGAGAGATATCGCTCAACCAAATCAAATTCAGACTGTGATGTCGTAATAGTTATTTAACCAACTAGTTTATTAATGAGGGCGATTAATGATCGAGATATTTCAACGTGCGAGCGAAGCGAGTGCGTTAATGTTCGCGATCATTAATCGCCTTTTGATATACAAGTTGGTTACAAAATTTTTCCGTCGACTATATTTCTCATTTCTCCTGCAATGAAGAAAACTTGGTTCGCCAAATCATCATCCATCCGGAAACTGCTAAGAATCACCCAGTAGCCTTGTTACTGACATTAGACACATTTGACATTTGTCGAAATGATCAACATAGGAAATAAATTCCTTGTGTTAGAAAACAGAAAAGAATATTCAGGTCATTCAATGAGAACATTTACCTCATAAGTGTTTGAATTCTTTTAAATCATGTGCAACGCCACTATCCTTCTGCGATTCGAATGGAAGACATGTCTGTATAGATCAATTGAAGATTAAGTTTAGTACATGATATTCAATAGTTTTCATGGTTTGTCCTTTTCACATGCGACTAAAAATATGTCAAACAAATATAAGGATTCATTTTCTGAAATACAGCTCACCATTGCTGAAATCGAATGGACTTCTACTGAATTTCAACTCACCGATTCTGAAATTGAGTTCACCATTTCTGAAATCGAACTAAGCAATTCTGAAATCGAGTTTACCTTCTCGGAAATAAAACTTACCGATTCCGAAATTGAAGTTGAAAAGGTATAGGATAAAAAGAAGGGTACGGAAGATCATTCGAGAACGTTCGAGAAGCAAAGCTTACCAAGGGATCTCATATATGAGGACGGCCGAACAACTGCCGTCAGTCAGTTAAAAATAAATCATTACAAACCATTACAAAGTGGCACTGGCTCGGTTCGGAATGACACATATTTGGAAATGTATCATTCATTACAAATGATTTTCAATTGAATGTCGACACTTAATAGTGATTTTGCATTGAATTGTAATTCACGAAGTTGGTATTTTTCTTTATTGGGTGCTGAATCAACAATTACCTGCACATCCGATTAGTTTTTTATAACTAAAGAGTTATTTTGAATTTTCAATAGCTCAGTGCCGAAAAAGTTCGAGCTAGTGCGACGAGTGGAAAACGCTTTTGAGTGTTCCTCAAATGCAGCAAAACAGAGTTCGAGCTTGATTCAGGCTCCTTCAACTCATCTGAAGCACCTATCAACCCACTAAAATCAGTACCTATATATCATGTGAGTTTTAGGTTGGAGCTATGAAAACTGTTTAGGTATATAATATACCCTCTAGCTGTTACATATGATTATTGTAGTATGTCGACGGTGAAAATACTACAACACAATGTTTAGAACCATCAAAAGTCACGAATCATCGTACAGCGTGAGTATTCTATAACTTATTTTATAGCTTCAACATGATTTGATAGGGAAGACAACTTCAAATTATATTACAACTCGCTAACCACAACTATATTACTACTAAACTTCTGGAGTTGAGGAACCCAGGTTCTTTCATGTCTGGGGTACCATGCACCTCACAAAGGTAAGCAAGAATGAACTTCGAAATTAATTTATTGGTCCTACAGGGTAGTATTGCGTTGTAGGTAGTAATATAATAACATCCGTGAAAATAAAAAGGTAGGAGAAATATAACATTTGCAGTCATTCAATCATCGGATTTTCCTCGAAAAATGAACACTGACTTCTTACTGATATAATTTGGACTCATGTCAATGCAGCAGTTATAAGACTGATTTTTTCCCATTTATGAAATATATGAATATTGAATTCGTTTCGTATAAGATTGAATGAAATATCTATTTCCTTCTTGAATAGTAAGCAGCCATTTTTGAGTTATTACCTCTTTCTACATATCAGACATCTAATATGCACAAACCTTCTACTTTCAAAGGAATCTTCAATATCACATACTCTCCTAATAGCTAGAAGACTCTTCATTATCCATGTTGCTTTATACTATTCGTAGCTATTGTTGCCATCAGTACTAATTTCAATGTAGGTCAAATTCACGTATTATAGTCTATATAGTGCAGACCATTGTGTGGGATATGCATAATTTCTTTTTCTGGTAATGATTGATGATGTATTCCTTTTGTAATTTTTTGTGTTGATTTATGACGTATATTTTACATTCCGTTGAAGTTATATTGTCTCCTATTCCTCATCCTTGAATCCTTTGATTTCATCTAACAGAAGCATACATATTTTGTTCCCAGATAATAGTTATATTGGTCTATTCGAATTTAATTTCATGGAATCATCAATTTTTGTCGCCTCCGAACATTTCTGCTTGTATAAACGAGATCAATATCATAATTCATAGTATTGAAATTTAGCAAAATGAAAAGGGCTCGATTATCAGAAAATATGTATGTTGTTCAATTTGAAATGATGATAATCATTATTGGCCTGATTCCAACCACAGTTATCCTTTTGTGCGGCAGCAACAACTATATTTTCCGTCCAAACTAATTTTGGTTATGTAATCGATGGTAATTCAAGACAGTATTTCAGGTCTAATTCGTTTTGTTGGCTTTTCGGCAATCTCATATTTATTTATAAGGTAAACCAGCGAAAGCTTCCAGAACTCCAATCCCGATGAAAGCCCTTACGGACCCCGTTAGGATCGATTTTGACTCATACATAAATATCAGCTGTGAACGACTTTGTTGTATCGGGGATTTTCGAGTATTATAGGCAAAGATGAGGTCTACCGAAATAATGTGACATCACCCCATTATTCAATTTTTTTCAGTAAGTTGTCATGACAGGATATAGAGTTCGACAATGTGCATTCTTATTTGAATAAATCCACTACAATGTGAAATCGGTCTTTCAGGCATACAGTATTTATACGAGCTACATTTGGAGTTTTACAAAATATGCAAAGCCAGGGACGATGTAGTTTTCGCATTACTGGAAGTTGTTGATCACATTCAGTACATTACCTACAATGCGTTACACAACACGATGAATTCAGTGCAAATACATTATTGTCTTTCACAATATTCTATTTGGCTCTCTTCTTTATATTCAGTTCATCCATCACAATCACTTGAATCTCTTCAACACTTCCATCATATGGTGAGCTGATGACACTCTGATTCATATTGAAACTGAAATAATAAATACATTTTTTCGAGCTAGCACAGAGGCAAGTGGATGACGATTTCAATTTTATGATATCATTTCTCACCGAATAGTATTCAACTTGCTAACTACTTCAGATAAAGCCATCAAGTTGAGAATAAATCAGCCACTGATGGACCAATAACACCACTCACAATGAGAAATGGTCATCAATAGATCTTTTGTTTTTCAGATCACCTACACATAGAAGTGATGCTGGAGGATCTTCAGTCCACACCAATAACTCGGCAACTCCAACTGGTGGAAACATGTTGTCTTCTACTGGATCTGGAACTCCTTCCGGTAACAATGCGCTAGAACAACCCACTCGTATGTTCGGAGATACCCTGCATATACATAGATCTTCCAATAATGCAAAACAGGTAGGGTAGTGGCTAGAAGCTATGTACACCATCATTATATGTATACCCATCAACTTTCATACTGCATCACCTCGTGTTTTTTTCATTGACATTTTAATATTTCATGTTCACACTTTTCTCCAAACTGTTTTTGAACCAATTTCTTGATGTGGAATGAATGTTTGTAATATACCTACCTCTCATATTTGTCCTTGTGAAATGTTAATCTCAGCTTTTCTATCAGCTTTTGCACAGTATTATTGATTACCAATAACTGATTAGTAATTCGTATAAGGTTTGGTCCCAGAGATGCAGTTGGTTTTTCCCTATCCAAGTTTGAATTTTTTCATCAGATCTGAATTGATATGAATAATGGTCAACTAGGTATTGAAGGTAGTTTTGCAGGAATACATATCCGTTGTAGATGCAATGTTGTTATTTGAAATTAGAAAAATATTCCATCGATAGTAATCATTGGAGGATACTCAAACGAGTTTGTCTCCATTTCTTAAATTATCACTGAGTGCGCTCTCGTTTCGACACAAGTACACTAGTCTGAAATAATGTATTGAACCAAATCGACAATCCAAATCTGACTTTATTTTGAAATGCCAGTAGAAGATATACTTTCTAACTGAGTTGAAACCATATGGAAAACAACTTCTTCATTATTTATTTCAGTGAGACATATTTTTTGAATACTATATTCCCATAACCCGTAGTTTCACATTCTATCTCCACCCACCTCAGTGGGATTAGAGACTGAACCTCCACAATTTGCCTGAACCTTTCCCAACAGCTTCATTCAATCATGTTTGCATTCCTGCCAACCAGAGCAAGAACCTAGCACATTTTCACCAAGTAAACATCCTGTATCTCAATCGTAAATCGAAAATCATTCAGTTATTTTATTCACCTGCCCGTATGGAGAAATAAACACAGTATAGTGGAAACCCTATATCTGCACAATATACACTATACAGTGCTCGCCAAAATCTACGTAGAATATCGAAAACGATTGTATTGAAGTAGTACAATAACTTCAAATGATTTCCACTATCATTTAATTCTTACATGAAGAGAAGAGAAATTATATCACAAAGGATATCACGTGATCTATTGAAAAATATGGTGAAACCTCAGCCATGGCACTTGATTTCTCTAAGGAGGAGGAGGAGTCTGGCACCACAGATTTCTCGCCAACCTTCCATTTTGTGGATTGCCTCCCCAGCTATGTTTTCTGCTAGCTAGTTTTTTCTCAAACAGGTCTCTCCATGTAGTGGTCGACAGAGTTTTATCTGACACTCTTATCATAAGTGCTGGTGTTCCGCGAAGGATCAATTCTATAGCTATAGCACCAACACTATTTCTACTCCATAGCAACGATTTGTTGGAAGCAACTTCATGTCCAGTACACAGCTTCGCGGATGATAGTACCCTCCATACCGCCTTCTCTTCCAGGGCTCCAATACCAGCCAGGCAAATCAGAAAAGAACGAGGGAGAAATGTTGACAACATAAATATGGACCTGGCAACAATTCTCGAATGGGGATACAATAAGCATGCCTTCTCTCTAAACAAGCCAATCCCACTGTGCCCAACATGAGCTTGTCAGGAGTAACCATACCTTGGAAGACATCTATTCCGTTGCTTGGTATAACTATCAGCAATAACCTTTCTTGGAGGAATCACGTGAGATCAATTGCTAAAAGTGCATCCCAAAAACTTGGTTTTCTGTTTCGGGCCAGGAGCTATCTCACTTCCAGTCAGCTGCTTATGTTCTATAAGGCACAGATCCGACCTGTCCTGGAATACTGTTTCCATATTCGGAGTGCAGCACCCAAACATACCCTGAAACTGTTGCAAGGGCAAGGGCAAGGGCAAGGGCAAGGGCAAGGGCAATTCGTCTCGTGGGTGATGCCTCGCTCATAAACTCACTCACTTCTCTGGAACAGTTGGCGATCTGGCTCTATTTTATAGATCTTTTCATGGAATGCTCTTCTGAAATATCAACAATTGTTCTTCCCTTGGCAGTTCCCGCGAGACTAACGCGTCGAGTTGAGGCTCCGCACCCTCGTGGTCACTTTGGAGACCTTCAGAACATCTCTTTCCAAAGACTCGTTCATCCAACGAACAGCGAGGCTCTGGTATACATTGCCAAGGGAAGTGTTCCCTGACGCATATAACCTTCAGAAATTCAAGAACACCAATTCCCACCTTATTTTTCTTGGTTCTTACGATGTTCTCTAAACATTTCAGCATATCCCTTTTCGTGGGAGCCAGAAAATAAAAAAAGATTCATTTTATTGTAGAATTGGTGACTAAATAGGTATTTTCATGCAACTACATATTATTAGTGGGAAGTAGAAAGTAGAATTTGGGAGCTAGGAAAATTATTTGATTTCCAAACACAATCTGGTGTGAAAATTTCGTATCGAATACCACACGAGGTTAGATTATTTTCCGGAAACTTTTCATAGCTCTTGGGTATTTTAAAACTAATGGTGAATTAATGCACGACTCAAATTAGTCCTAACTTGAGACCTAACTTGATATTGCCCCAAAATTTATCATTTGTGATTGTCAAATATGTTGACAGGTCTACACATGCGCATTTCTTATGTGGTCTCAATTATAGGCATAAAAATTGAAAGTTTGTAACTTTCAGGGTCATGATTATAATTGAGATGAATTCACCTATTGAAATGTATGCTCATAACTTGATTTTATGAACAAATACTGTGACCAAGACTAAGACTGAGACAATGATGCATAAATAGACCCTAAGTAAAGTCGTGCATGAATTCACCATAATACGATAATTCAACCTCTGGTGGAATTACATTACATATGAAAATCCCCAATTTCTTTCAGATTCGGCGAGCGATCGGTTCTAACAACATCCCCCCGCCAGCCCTGCCCGCCCCCGTGCCAACCCCCTCGGTGCCCCCCCAGAAACCCGCCGGAGTCCCCCAGTCGCACAGCACCTCGTTCTCCTCCAAGCTGCACATGGACACCAGCACCTTCCAGTCGCCCTATTCCACCACGCCTACCGGCATCAAGTCGTCCGCGTCGACGTTCAACTTTTCCACGCCGGCCGCCGGCGCGTATTCGACGCACCCGGCGCCTGCGCGGACTGACCGGCCGGCGGCGGTGACTCCGTTACCGCTGCACCTGCAGACTAAGGGCGGCAAAATAGGTAATGTGATTTTTTTCTATATTTTCGTATTTTTATTCATTTTTTTATTTATTTATTGAACAAATAACATCCAGAAAGAATAGGCTCTGGTATAAGCAAGTACATAATTATACAGGGTGGGTCACGGTCGATGGCACCTTAAACGTTTACGGAGAACGGGACATAAGATCATCCTGAAAATTTGGTTACTCAAGTAATTGCTCTTGATCTATCGATCTAAAATATTTTCAGCTCTGCGGCGTTGCCGCTTCTATCGAAAAGTAGCAACAACTTTGTTATTTTGAATGGAACACCCTGTATTTTATCGCATTTCCAGATTCTCTCTGAAGAGCTGATTTCATCGATGTATCACACTTGGGGTCTAGCGGAAATAATTACAGAGATATAGGGTGTGAAAAATCGACATTTATCAACTTTAGGAATTTTTTTTTGTCGAAACTATTCATTATTGGTCAAAACGGCTCACATGTCCCTATCCCAACTTTTGATCAACTATCTACTGACATTCAATTGAAACAGTTGAGATGGGGACATGTGAGCCGTTTTGACCAATAATGAATAGTTTCGACAAAAAAAATTCCTAAAGTTGAAAAATGTCGATTTTTCACACCCTATATCTCTGTAATCATTTTCGCTAGACCCCAAGTAAGATATATTGATGAAATCACCTCCTCAGAGAGAATCTGAAGATGCAATAAAATACAGGGTGTTCCATTTAAAATTACAAAGTTGTTGCTACTTTTCGATAAAAGCGGCAATTACTTGAGTAATCAAATTTTCAGAATGATCTTATGTCCCGTTCTCCGTAAACGTCTAAGGTGTCATCGACCGTGACCCACCCTGTATACCTAGAGGTAAACATATCATCATCCAGAATAAATCAACAACAACTGTAAATTGACAAACAAAGAAAAATATTTGTGAAAAAAATGGAATGATTAATTTCGACCAGTTCGCTCTGAAATAATCAGCGTTTTTACTGCATTTTCAAATGTACCTATATTTCTGCAATTTTCTATATTGTCAGGTAGTTTATTGAATTTAGTTAGGGCTGAATGGGTGAATCTTTTTTGTCCGATTATGGAGCTAGCGGCGTCAAGATGAAACAAGTTAAATTGTCTAGTTTCATGAATATGAATTTCAGAATTCCGTATCAAAATAATATTCGACTCCATTTTTTTATTTATGATATTATATGATATTTTGAGAGTTTCAATTCTATATATATATTTCATCTGAAGAATACGTATTTGTTATCAAATTAAGATATTTATCTCGAAGTTCCGACCTCTAGCTTTAATCTTTTATTTCTAAATTTCCCTTATATTCTCGAAACTATTACATTTATCACGAAACTCCGAATTTTCTCTAAAAACTAAGAATTTGATCTCATTTTTTTTTTTGTAGAAATTTCGATATTCATTGCGTTATTCTGACTTTTATCTTGAAGTTCCGACTACTACGTCAAATCCTCGACTTTCATTCGGAATTTGCGCCTCTCATCTCGAAATTTTGGATAATATCTCCAAATTCGTACTTTTATCACTAAATTTACAATATAGATTTCTATTGAAAAGGAATATTCTCAGATAAATCATGAACATATAAAAATGGATATATATTTATATAAAGCAATACATTGAGAATTCGCATTCTCTATGTGATGAGAATATTTACTCTTTTTCAGTTAATTCAATAGAAAACAACTACTTTCCTGGCTATATGCCACGACGAACATTGAATTATATCTATTGAACACACACGATAAGAGTTTGAAAATAAAATATAAAAATTTCTGAAATTGAGAATTTGCATTCTCCTTCAGACAAAAAATATGTATATACACACATCATTCTGAATATTCAACAGAAAACAACTACTTTCCTGGCTATTTGCCACGTCGAACATTGAATTATATCTGATGAACATTCAAAAAGGGAACATGAAAATTAAGAATAAAATCCTCCGAAATTGAGAATTGACATTCTTCTTCGAATCGGATGAATAATATGATGAATAATGATCTAGAAATATGACTTACCAATATATTCAGCATTGAAATGAAAATTGGAATGTATAGGAGAAGTATACTGGCATGAACTCTGATCTTGATGAGCTTGAAAACGTCCAAAAATAATCATTCATATCAGTGATATGGGAAATATTATCTGATGAGGATTCAGAGATCCGAAATGGGTTCATTGCAATAAAGTATATAACCTGTGTGTGAGAGATAATATTTCCCATATCACTGATATGAATGATTATTTTTCGACGTTTTCAAGCTCATCAAGATCAGAGTTCATGCCAGTATACTTCTCCTATACATTCCAATTTTCATTTCAATGCTGAATATATTGGTAAGTCATATTTCTAGATCATTATTCATCATATTATTCATCCGATTCGAAGAAGAATGTCAATTCTCAATTTCGGAGGATTTTATTCTTAATTTTCATGTTCCCTTTTTGAATGTTCATCAGATATAATTCAATGTTCGACGTGGCAAATAGCCAGGAAAGTAGTTGTTTTCTGTTGAATATTCAGAATGATGTGTGTATATACATATTTTTTGTCTGAAGGAGAATGCAAATTCTCAATTTCAGAAATTTTTATATTTTATTTTCAAACTCTTATCGTGTGTGTTCAATAGATATAATTCAATGTTCGTCGTGGCATATAGCCAGGAAAGTAGTTGTTTTCTACTGAATTAACTGAAAAAGAGTAAATATTCTCATCACATAGAGAATGCGAATTCTCAATGTATTGCTTTATATAAATATATATCCATTTTTATATGTTCATGATTTATCTGAGAATATTCCTTTTCAACAATTTCATACCCAATCAGGGGGTTCAAACTTGAACGATGGAAACTTGTGATTTTTATAGACCTCTTATCGCAGATTCGTGATAGAGTCTCAATTCAGAATTCATTTCCACGCCCTGTATGATGAATGTCAATTTATCATACACCCAAAAGCAAAATAGATTTCTATCCCAACTTTCATCTCGAAATCTTGGTTATTATCTAAAAATAGAGACACTTATCACGATACTCGAATTATATCTCGAAATTTCGGGAATAATATCAAAATCTCGACTTTTATCACGAAATTCCGACTTCTATCTCATGATGTCTACTTTTATGTATGAATTCTGAATTGTATCTCGAAATTCTGACTTTAATCTCAAAGTTTCTATTCTTTGTCAAAATTTGGACTGTGATCACGAATTTTTCGACTTCTATCACCAAATTTTGAATGTGATCACAGAATTCTGACTTTGATATCAACATTCTGATTACAATCGTGCATTCCAACTTTTACCTCAAGACTTCAACTTTTCAATTGAGATTTCAACTTTAATCACAAAATTTTGACCTTTATCACGAAATCACGACATTTTTATCCCGAAATGTCGACATTCATCTCGTAATTCTGACTTTTATCTCGAAGTTTCGACTTCTACGTCGAATTCTCGACTTTCATCTTGAATGTACGCCTCTTATCTCGAAATTTTGGACATTTTATCTCCAAATTCCTACTTTCATCACGAAATATACATTACAGATTCTCATCACAACTTTCGTCTCGGAATCTTGATTATTATTTTGAAATCAAGTCATATCACGAATTTTATCTCGAAAATCCCAATTCTTTCTCGAAATTTTGATCATTATCTCGAAATCACGGATATTTTGAATTATTCCTAGTAATTTCGACTTTTATTCAAAAATTACGACATTCACCTCGAGAATTCGACTCTTACCACGAAACTTCTCAAAATTTCGACAAGCGTCAATTTGTCCGCGTCGACGTTCAACTTTTTCACGCAATCCGCCACTACACCTGCAGACTAAGGGCGGCAAAATAGTTAATGTGGAGAAGTGCGAATTATAGTATATTATTATGTAACAAGTATTATAACCGTTCTTTTAGTAACGAGTTTTTTATAGTATATCATGTAACAAGTATTATAAACGTCCTTTTAGTAACGAGTATTTTGAGCACGAGCGGAGCAGAGCGGAGATATATTGAAAAAATATTGAATCTTCACTTATCTTTGGACGTTTCGGAAACGAATCTGCTTCCGTTCCTAACGTGTTAACTATGGTATAATAATGAGCTGGTAGTTTATCAATATTTTATCAAAGTTTTTTAACCAACCAAATCTCTGATCTCAACGTACTACTATTACTTATGACATCATGACGATCGACATTGACAATCGACATTGACAATCGACATTGACAATCGACATTACAATCGACATTGACAATCGACATTGACAATCGACTATATATGGACACAGAATCCATAGAACCATATGACAGAAGTGAGGTTGTGTTTCATTAATTCACAGAAGAGTAAGGTTATGTTTCAACATTTTGCCTCCAGGGACGGTCATTATGCACGCGACCTATTCTAAGTTTCAAAATATGTAATTTTTCAGATCAAAAGTTGTCACGAATTCTTGCTATTACAGGAGGTCCCGTGGGCAATGTGTCCCTCCACAGCAGCAACGACTCCGGGTTCTCCAACGACCCCCCGCCACAGCCGGAAATAGACTATTCCGATGACGAGTCCATTCCGGGACAGACTAAATTACCCAGTCGGTAAGTTGGTTGTCTGTTGGTCCTGAATGAATAATACAGTTTGCATGGTGATGCTGGACATTGTCTGCGGTTGAATATTGATGGTGGAATAGGTATTTGAAGGTCAAGGGATATTTGTCACATACAGGGTGTCCCAAAACTGCTGGAACACAGAGCTATCACGTGTAATAGATGTCTAAATAAATTGATCGAATCCAATGTATTCGTATACCAAGATATCCGTGATAAGAGTTCACAGTTCACATGGAAAAGCATATTCAGCTGTTCAGAAATGAGTGAAACAAAATTGATGAAATTTGACAAGATTTAATTTTTGTAGAGAATTGAGTACTCTACCTCAGTAATCGAAGAAACCCAAATGAAATTGTAGGATGATTGAGAGTACTTTCACCCCTCACATTTTTTCCAGAACAATCTCAAGGAGGGTGGTAATACGGTTATCAATTTTACCGTTACTTCTGAAAGAAAGAATGTTTTGTTCTCTCGATTGTTTCCAGAACATTCCAGAATCTTCTGTCACGTTACTTGTCACCGCGGCATATATTGAGTGTTCGGAAATATGCTGGTGCATGTGGGAATCATTGGGAGGTTGGAGAACAATCTGGAATGCGTGTTACAGGATGATCGTTGTACTCCTGCCTTCCTGCTGATGTTTCTAGAGCCCCTCTGAGGAGAATATCATCACAATATTTCCAGTACAACTTCAATAATATTGTAATATAACATTTAGTTGACAGTGAAAACGAAGGCAGAGACTTTATAATGAATGTTCAATTTGAACTATGACGACCGGACCTTCTACAAAGCAAAGGTTAAATCGACGGGAAAATTTCGAATACATCTGTTTTCTTTATGCAATCTTTGAATTCTCCTCACAAACAAACGCTACATTTTGAGTCCAATTAACTTATTATGACCTCCATTATTAACGTGGTACCTGTGTCTCTCAGCAATTTTGGGACACTCTGTATATGATGGCGAACAGTTGTTTTCAACATTGCAATATGCAGACATTTCGGCATTAGCAGAAGACATTGATTGTTCTTGAAAATATGTTTTTCCGGAGCATACACTGTGATTGTTCGATGTATTTTTCATCTGATTTCTTTTCCAAAAAATTGTATGTGCTCATCAATTACACTGTTGATCCAGGTATGATTACATTTTTGTTTTCTTATTTCAGCATACGTTATTTGATGAAGAATATGATAGAATGCATTCATGTGAATTGAAATATTAGTTATATTTCAATATACCTGATGAAGAAATGAATGAGATAATTTGCCCCAAAAAGTCACTCCTTGACTCGATAATGTGTTTTATATGTTTTGTTTTCTCATTAATCGAAATTGTCATCTGTGAAATTGATACTCTAGTGGGGTAATCTCTCAATTATGCCTGAATGCATTCGGAGATATTGCATATTTCTGGAGAGGACACTTTTTCAATTTCAAATTGTTTCCAGATTCACCTATTTGCTCATTTCGAACTGATGAATATATTTCTCTTCTCACCACCTGATATCTTTGCTTAGTAAACAGAACTATTGAATATTTTATGTGACCAAGAGTAGTTTGAGGTTTCACAAATCATTTTTTGAGAAAACTGACATGAAAACGGTTGCTAATGAGGAAGTCTGAAGAAGAAAAATCAGATGGTCACCTACCAGATTCATCATATTACATCAACAAATGGCAATATATGCTCCTGAAAATAATCCCAAATGCTGATCATTCCATTAGGGAAGTGTTTGAAAATATTGTTCTCGTATGATATATCAAGATTTCGTCATGTAGAAGTCGAATCTGAAATAGTATAGCTATAATTTCACTCCTCACGATTTTTCCTACTAGAACTATTTTTTTTTGAGAAGTAGGCACTTTCCAGCTCAATACATGTCTAAAAAACAAAATTTTCCGACCGAGTGCCGAATGCATATAACTAAAATCAAGGCCAATTTTTCTCCATTTCGTATGTCCACCATCAACCATGACCGTTTGTATTTTCTACTGCATGCCTGCTCATGTGTGTTGTTTGTTTGGGATAGCGATTCTCAGTTGTTAGGCAGTTTACTTCAGTACATTGCGTTCGACTATGATGTAGTTTAGATAGCTATTTTCTCCCGGGATTCTGATGCCCCATTTTCATTTCAACATTATTCCACTGTCCGTATTGTTAGAGCGGAAAATGTTCATGCCGAAAACATTATTGTGAAACTGTAATGGAGAACGTTGGATGTTCATCAGATGTATGATTTTTTTGTTCGAAATTTTATTAGGAACTGTGCATAACGTCAGGAAAATGTAAACATTATTGTTAGCTTTGTCTGTCCGCTCCATATAAAGTTTGAAACAATTCCGTAAAAATTAATATGTTGCACAGTAAAATTATGAATGCATTCATAGCATTCTTTATTATTCAATCCAGAATGAGATAAGACATATTTTATGATATGAAATCCACGAAATTACTATGATTTCTTGTTTTTCATCACCCTAATTCTGTTTGAAATTTAATTTGAATATCATAGTGAAATTGATTCAAATTGATATTGTGAACAGTATACAGGTTTGACAATAGTTCTTCGCCAATGAATTTCTGTGTCATGATTCCGAAAGTTTGAACTATTGTTTACGAAATAATATTGAATTCAACGTACTGTATTTCATTGGGTTTTTGACTAAATGTTTATTGAATGCAGCCTCCTTTTTATGGAAAACTCTATGCATATTTGAACGTTTGGAATCTTTTCCAATTCGATATTACTGTTTTGAATGATGAATATTCAGTGTGTCCCAATTCAAGCAGCATCAGTTATGAGTTTTTCCATTCGTGGTCCGATTTCAAGAACGTTTTTATGTACGGTGATTTCAGATAAACTAACTTATATACAGTTAATGAGAACACCCTGTATATAGTATTGATATGCGAGTAATCAGATGCATATTTCAATATTGTGGTAGTGAAGTGGATAAACTGAATATTGAGACATGTAGTAGTATTCATATTGGGAAAATATATTCTTGAAATTGATCCACAAGTGTGATGCTCATAGTGAAACAAAGTAGTCCATTAAAAGTACTAAGTATTGAAAATAATTTCAGAAAGAATCATCTTCCATAATTGATTTCTTGTTATGAATCAACGGAGAATTGAATACTCATTAATTTCGTTTTTAGATATATGATTTCCTGCAGCAGAGATGGAACCCTGGATAGAATTCCTAATCACAAGAAACATTTTTCAGGATTTTCATCAGATATTTATTTTTGATAATTCCTCATGTATTCTTAGTTGACACCGAGTAGAAATAGAGCTAGTGTAGTTAAAACTCTCTCTTTCCCTACGTAGTATTGAAGTAAATGCCTCTTTATCGCTATCTCCTCTCTGTGCTTCCATATTGTCTCATTGTTGTTTGTTATTCATGTAGAAGAAGAATCCTCAAACAACTCGAAGAAGAAAATCACAACAGAACACTTCCGAATCCAAAAAGATCCAATACCATCAAGCAATCGAGGAGTCACGGTAACTTGGTCAATGGCAGTCGTACCAGTACCAACACTGATACAGATATCACTCCAAAGGAAGCTAAAAAAATCGTGAAAAGAACCAAGTCTTTCTGGAAATTTGGAAAAAACAGCTCTGATAATGAGATACTAGAAGGCATGTCTCTTTGGAAACATAGAGATTTAGTTGACGTTGAAAAGAAGAAGTTCAAAGTAAAGAAAGAAGAGAAAGCAAGAGAACGAGTGAAGAAAGAGAAACGTGATAGGTCCAATGATTCCGATAGAACCATCAACAACAATAACTACAAAGAGAATGGAACTATTGAGAAAGAGCATGAGACATTGAAACCGAACAAGAGCATCAGACAAAGCAAAAGCTTCCACGAAAAACAGAAACTATCTCTCTTGCCTAGAAAGGAATCTATCGACGATAGAATCGAGTACGAGGATACGTACAAGCAACCAATAAAGCCAGATAAATTCGATGATCAATTCTACGATGATGATGGTGATGGTTTGATGCTGAAAACAGTGAACAGAAAGAATATCCTCCAACAATACACCAACAACTCATCAGGCACAGATTCTGAGACAGAATCTGACATGACCAGTGATGATCCGTACGATTGCATCTTAGTGGACGATCAAAAAGTGAAGAAGGGCGATAACCATTTCCCTAACGTAGCTGAGTTAGGTAAGAAATTGGAGAAGTTGTCGAAGAAGAGCAAGTACTCACCCAACAAAGACCTTGAACCTTCAGTTCAGGAGAAGAACAGTAGAAATAAAAGAAGCAAAGCTGCCAGGATCGAGAGTCCTGATAATGAAGAAGGGGAAGTGATCATTGAGTATCAGGATAAGCGGCACACCAATGGATTCCGGCCTTATGGAATCGAAATCCAGAACAACGAGAATGGGGAAAAGGAAAGGATAGACAACGAGAGGTACCATAATGAGACCAATGTGAAGCGTAGTGACGTGAATGGACATGAAAAAAGAAGGAGTGAGAGAAGAGGTCGACCAAGCTACGAATCCATCAACTCTGAAACGGAGCAGCGATCTAGAGACAACAGGCGTCCGCATGGGGAAAACGATAAGAAAGAGAGCAGAGAAAAGTATTATGACTCCACCAATGATGAGTTATCAGACGCTGTCGAGAACAGGCAGTTGCTCCCCAGGACTAAGCTGACGAAGACCAACAGCAATAATTCTTCTCAGAGTAAATACGAGCAGGACATCGGCCTGATGGAGTACGGAGAGACTTTGCAGAGGAGATTGAAAAATCCCGAGTATAACTCAAAGTTTGATGAAAAATCGCCTCATAACGGCAACATGTACGGGCCCTGGTATGATCTTTGGGGGTTGGATTCGACAGGAACGGCTCGCAAAAAATGAGATTAGCATGGCTTTGGTAGTTCAGTTTCAATAGTAGATTATTTGTATTTGCTTGAGTAGATTGAATGAATATATTATCAAGTTTATCATTTTATAATTAGCGAAATATCATAATATGGCAGTATCTAGAATAATATTGATTTTTTTATTCACATAGGTCCAATGAATACCTACAATGTGACTCAGAACTTATCGATTCTTAAGTAATTTGAAGAACACAATAATGAATGTGGAAGTTTATACACATCTACAGTGTGTTCATTTAAGTGTGCAACATATGGAAATCTTTTTAATGAATTGCACAACCAAAATACAAATATAGTGCCAAAAGTTGGTGCATGTTCAGTAATCATTTTAGGTGCACTCAAAATGGTTGCAAGTCAAACAGCATACAGGATAGGTCAAAAATATGAGAATTGTCCAAGAGTAAAGTACCCTTCCCAGCAAACATTTTGATATGGGGCATCAATGGCCTAATATATTTTTCCCATACCTGACTTCAGCGGCCCAATAAATGGTCCCATATGCGGGACTCTATATATCAGTACACTGCGGCCGGCAGCTGGTCCCAATGCTGGGTACCAGCAATCATATTCAGTTTCCCGGCAAAAGGCCAGTACAACATAATCGACACATTGAGTGTCCCATAGCAAGCCCAGCATATACATGAATGATGGGACTCTAATGGCCAATTAACGAGATTGGTTACATACTATCGAGGTAGGGGAAGGGTAGGGGTTTTAGAGGTCCAATGGATCTGAAAGTTCTAGTACCTCTTTATTTCACAATATAAACCTCTCATCATACCAGATTCCAAGAAAACAATTTTATGAATGACACAATAATATCTTCTTAACCTCTCTGTTCTTCAAAGATAAAACTTCTCGATGTGACTGCTTACTGGTTGGTATGTGGTATCTGCATCTTATTGGGTAGCATTCCTTCAAAGTTGATTCTCCGTTGTAAGGTACTTCTGAAATATGAATTGCATCATTAGTTATATATTAGTGACCTATGAGTCGCATGAGTTTATAACTTGATAATATAGTCTGATCACGTGATAATATGAAGCTTTTCAATTCTCATTATTTCCTTGGAACAGGTATTTCTGTAGCTGAAACCTTATTGTTATTTAGTTCTTTAATACAGGGACACGTTCACATACCCTAAGATTGCTTTCGATAGCAACAAACGAGTTGAAAATGATGGTTGCTTTTGGATAAGTTTATAGCCAACTCCAATTAGTATGATCATCAGGTATATGAGGTTACGAGATACCAAACACATGCATTTAATAATGAAATTCGAAACACTATGTAGATAGATTGATACTTACTCAGTATTATCATAATTGAAGAATCCGTCTTCTATTATTATCTATTGAGAATACTCCTGCCATCATAAATAACCACCAGGGAAAGAGAGGACCACATTAATTCCACATAAACAAACTAGTACGCGATCACCACTCACGAGAGTCAGCCATCTTAGTGACATATAATATATTGATCAGCTGATTGTTGATGTCGACGTTCCCAGAACATCCACCAGGGGGACGAGTAGCGAACATGAAATTGGCCAGCAAAGGGCCAGATCTCGTTAGTATTCAATTAGTTCCAGACATCTTACCATCACGAGGCCATCATCGTATTTTTAACTGATGGTTACTTGATATAGGAAAATCATCGGCCCATTACCAATACCCCGGCATCGTCACTTTCCCAGACTAGCCTGCACTAGGCCAGACTTCTCCCGCTAGTTCAATGTTTGCTGGGCTTATTTCAGAAAATTCAGCAATATTTGAGATTTCAAATTTCTTTCGTTGATAATATCCCAGTTTTTAATTTTTCTTATATTCACCCTGAACAGTTCCATGAGTTGATCATAACAAAATCAGTTGATCATACCTTTGTTCAAATTCAAAAATGTTTGTGCAATTAACTTGGATTTAAATTTTTTTAGGGAATCACAAACTTAATGCTTGTTGCAACGGTATTTAGCTCAACTTTAAAATTTCGCAAACAATCTTTTTAACAAGGTAAAACGTCATTAATGATGATATGCAAATTCAAAAGCTGTCATTTGATGTGAACATTTTGTATTTGAAATATTTATGAAAAAGCTGTACAAATCAATCGATAACCATGATATTATTTGAAATAATCACGAATACCCAAGGAACAAAAAAAATGAGCGTTGACAGTAAACATTAAAACAGTTTGGTAACATTAACTTCCCATCTAATGATGTTTTACCTTGTTAAAAATATGGTTTGCGATATTTTGAAGTTAGGCAGAATATCGTTGCAACAAACATAAAGTTTGTGATTCCTTAAAAAAGTAAAAATCCAAGTTGATTACACAAATATTCTTGAATTTGAACAAAGGTATTCTCAACTGATGTTGTTATGATCAACTCATGAAAGTGTTCAGGGTGAATATAAAAAAAATTAAAAATTGGGATATTATCAACGAAAAGTAATATGTGAATATGTCTTAGGAGGCCATACTTGGGTATTTAGGAATAACTTCCAATTGTTAACAACTTTTCTCAATAACATATTTGACTGAAATAAGGGTACTTTACTCTTCATCAATTTTGAAATTTCTTGACCTACCCTGTATGCTGTTTGACTTGCAACCCTAAGGGCACCTAGAGTGATCGCCAAACATGCACCAACTTTCTGCACTATCTGTATTTTGGTTGTCCAATTCTTAAAAAATATTCCCATATGTTGCACACTTAAATGACCACACTGTTTATTTCTTAATAAATATATCGCTGTTGAATGAAGTAATACACAGGGTATCTCATTCGACCGATAACGTTTCACACGTGATAGCCCTCATGATTGGTTTAGGAACTTGAGCCCTTCCAGTGGTGAGTTGAAGAGTTGCAGGTAATTGAAGTTGAGAAGTCAAATTTGTTCTTCGAATAACTCAAAAATAGCTAGTTTTTCTCTAATCGATTTTTGATGGAAATATGAATTATTCATTTCATTCAGCGATGCTCGATAACGATGATGCTTATATACAAAAATAGATTTGATTAACTTTAAAAAATTTCGAATACTTTTTTTTGAGCAAAATACGGGTCCATTCTGTTCAGATCTTGTAATAACATTGCTAAGACAACAATATTGTTATAATCATAAAACATAACAATATTACTATGCAATTCTGTACAGATTGTTTGTGTTTGGTGAATTTGGTCATCATTGGTGGTTGTGCAAGTGGTGCAAGTAATCAATCATGTCCAGAAATATGAAAACAACCAAAAGCCGGATGAAAATGATCGTGTTTCATTTCTGGAAATGAACTTGCAATTCAAATGGATTGCTGGTGTCTGATGATATGATGCCGAAATTGTAGTCTGATGATTCTAAAAATTGAAACTTCGAGAAGAGCTTTTCAAAAGTTGTTGGTTATACAAGTGAACTTCTCATAATTATGTTCATAATCAACCTATTCTCTAAATTTACAAACACTTGATAGAAATTTCAGTGAAAATACAAAGAATCCACTGCCATTTATAATCTTGTTATGACATAGCAAGCACAAAATTGATGTTGCAGATATAGCAAGAAAGCTAACAAGATGTCATTGAAATTGACAGATCATATTGCCGAAAATATATGAATTCCACTTCTTCGAATCTTGCTGTGAAAGCAATATCTTCTCTACAACAGTATCGCTATTCGCAAACAGAATCGACCCGAATAATTGGAGTTTTTTTAAATTCTAGACGAAATCGAACAGGAAAGTCGGTACGTTAAGAAAAAAATTGTCATAGCGTAGACGTAACTTTTGAGTTAGGGACTGCCGAAATAATATTATTCAATTTCCCAGTATAACAACTTGTATTTTTGTAACTGATGATATCTTATGTCGTTATTCAATCGCGAGGTCTGTCATGCATATGATTTCTGTCGAATTTCACAACACCCTGTACACCAATTTCTATTATATCGACTTATTCATTACCCTATTATAATAAAATCTCATTCCATATTCAACTCATTCAATATGTTGTTCAATTCAAAATCATTGATTATTTCCAGGTCTAACAATTTTGCAACTATCAAACTTCGAAAAACTAACCCCAGCACAGATAGAACTGCTTCACTCATCTTAGAATAATCGCATCCTAATATTTTATTATCCACAATCAATTCTCGTATTTTCATGTTCTGTATTGAAAAGTTTTTTATCATGACGTTTTTTTATTATCTGCCACTAGTCTAATTATTACTGTACGTGAAGGATATGATCATCTGAATATGTTGTTTGTTGTATATAAAGCTAGCTTTAACATATAATAGATAAATTTCTATATCGTTTGTACATCTTATCGTTGCATTATCTAATAACATGATTATGATTTTCTCTCTCAAATATATATGTCTTATTATTCAGATATATTCTTTTATGTGTAGGTGATCTCTATCGAGATTTTTTTTGTTATTTTCCATTTATTTTGTAAATAGTTCTTATGGTGGTTGGGAATGGTGCAATACATATATCATTGTAATCGACTACTAACTTACTATATTGTATTTGCAATTTTAACGAATTCCAGATCATCAAAATTTTCAATAAGTATGAGTCAATGATCAAAATACAGGCATTGGACTGATTTTTAAGAAAATTTCTGTGATAAATCTGTTGGAATCTATAATTACATCCTTGAGCAAAACTATTGGTAAGTTTGGTAAATATTTGTATATAATCAAATTTGTATGAACTGTGTCATATGCTAATTTCTTGGATTGTTTGTATACAATTCAATGTAAAAATAATCAAAATATAAGGAATAATTTCTAGATATTGTTAATCTATCTGAGCATGTCCTGAATTATATTGTTTGTTCAATCGTCAGTTATCATCAGTTACCTACCTTATTTTTGCAAAAGTCATATCCAATGTATAGGATCTTTTGGAACAGGTGATGATTAATTTGTTTGAATAATATGATTCTCAATCATGTTCCATTTACATCACAATGAACTTTCAATAATATCTTATCATTTTGTTATCTTTTATATTCGAAACCCGTCCATTTCACATGAAAAACTTATTATTAATTGATTAAGGTATTTGACCCTCCATCTTCATGACAGGGGCTTACTATAATCGAATGTATATGTTGTCCACGAAGAACACTGTAACACATTTTGTTTTGTATAGCTATGATATGGAAATAAAATGATTGTTATCAGTTATTGTATATCGATTTATTATCAATAAAATTTATATTGTTTATGAATTATTATTGAACTTCACTACAATCCCTACTAATCCGAATTCTGATTAGGAATTATCTGGAATAAGGTATCAGTTCTTCTCTATTCTTACCTATATATACTGAGTGTTACGGATATCGACCAGCAAACCTTCAACCCTTTACATATTTTCTCAAGGACAAGAATTCTCTTATATCAGTTGTTGTTGAGAAAACGCTTTACATTCGAGTGAGCCAAACTGAATAGTTTTATAGTTATTGAACATGACATAGATGCTTGCATAGTCACTAATTTTTAATAGTAGCTCATTCCGAAAATGTTTGCATAATTCTTTTTGTATGGAATATTTAGATTCTTTGAACTCAACAGAATGTCAGTAGATAGTCGATCAACAGTTGAGATAGGGACATGTGAGCCGTTTTGACCAATTATGAATGGTTTAGACACAACAAATTCTTGAACTTGGAAAATCTCGATTTCTCACACCCTATTTCTCAGTAATTATAACTGCTAGACCCCAAGTATGATGGATTGTTGAAATCAGCTCACCAGGGAGAATCTCAAAATGAAATAATATATAGGGTGTTCGATTGAAAAAAGTTCAACTTCAGTGTTTTGTGATTTTTGGGGACATCCTGTATGTTTCAAAATAATTTCAAATGGTAGCCTATGTTGACATGCAACTTCCTAGAGAGGAAGAATCCCAAGAAGATGAGTGGTTAGCCTTCTAGAGACCGAGGCGTTACTGGTGGCCCACCCTGTATATCTGTCAGCCATTTGTGAGGTATCACCATCGAACATAAACAGGCACATTCAACAGATACTGATTGTCTATACAAAACCATTGAAATAATGATAATGAGTGCTAATGCGTGAGTCAGATCAGAACTGAAATACCTAGAAGAAAATGGATGTAAAACAAACGATCAATATAACAATATCAACAATAAGTGGGTGAGGAGGAGTGAGATTCTCAAAATGACAAATATGGTTGGCATTGATACTATACTCAGGGTGAACAAATATCCGATAGCCCCAATCAATCTGACATAATTGTGAATTTTTCAATCAAACATATCGCCCTGTGAGTTGGCTGGGATTATCAAATATCTGATGCATGTAGGTATTCATTAATTCTATAGCTATAGTACCGAGGTTTTGTGTATAAGAGAGTGATAATATACTTTATGTACAATTATATGTACCCAGCCGCGCTGTGAGCAAATTCAATCTAGCCACTTTGTAATTACATTGCTTTTCACTCTAAATATTCTACATTAATGAACTCTCATGCCATTAGGCTCGTTTAGGTGAATCATTGAATCACATAATATATTATGTATGGTCCCTGATGAAATTTGTAGGTTTCACATTTAGACATAATATGTGAAATGGATTTATTTTCTGAAATAGAATATCACATACCAAAGTGAGGAGCGTTTAATATTGCTCCAGCTGATCTGCTGATACATTATGACATGATTATCGTGAAATGTTTAATTGAAACATTGATGGGAAATCGTAGAGATATAACGAGAGAGTTCTGTATGATTCGTTATAAAAGATCCAAATTTCACGAAAGTAAGTTAATAATAAGAATTTTCAATTAGGTTCATTCAGAAATCTATTATAGGGAATGTGTTACAATATCGAGATTTCCAAAAAAAATCTCGAAATATAGGAGCCTCTTTCTGAATATTAACTAGCAGGGTGTTAGTTCTTGTTATATGCAGAGTGAAATATAAATATAGTTATTAATAAAAAATATCAAGAAATCGACAGGAATCAGCATTTGACCTCCTCTATCAACCAACAGGAAGTAGTAGGTATTCTTTTATTATTTTCCATGATTCATTGGAAATATAAATATAAATCCCAGTCGGAAACATATCCTGATGGTGTCATATATATCGTATTCGCCATTTTGAATTGTCAAATCTTGACGAAAAAACTATCATCTTTCACTCCAAAAACCACCAGATACCATTTTTGAATTTGTATCATATTGTGAGAACATTCAGAGTATATTTAAATATTCTCAGAGAATATCCTATAAACATTCCAACAATGAGGTTCTACCTGAGAATATTCCTGGAATGTGACACATCATCCTGATAGAGTATACAGGGTGGGTCAAAAATGTGTACCGAGCTATCTGGAGGTGCGTAGGTTTTATGAAAAATAATGAATCAACTAAAGGCCCAAAAGGTTTTGAGAGAGAAGATATATATCCGTCCAATGTTGATAAAATTGGAATAATTGTCCCGCATAACTTCTAAACGGTAAAAGCAACCAGATTAATGTTACCTGTATGAATGTATGTTGAAATAAATTCTTCTGATACACTTCTGCAGTTCTGATATTGATTTTTGGAGACAACTATTATCCTTGTATCCTCAGTGATGGGAAAATTGAAGCATTCGATAGAGCGAGAAAAATTTCATAAAAATTGGTAGTCAGAATACAAAAATTGTAACCGGTATCAGGATATTTGAGGTTTTGTGATATGATTACAGTGGATTAATTCATCGGTAACAATATTTTAGGCGGCCATGATTAATTTTGGTTTTAATTTTGACGTTTGTGGCATGAACATTGTTATTGTTAATTTTCTTGTGCAGTATTATATAGTGTTACTACAAATCACAACTGAGAATTTGAGGAATTGCTGGTTATTCGTTATGCCACAATGTTTTTTTCTGCTCGACGCTTCGCAAATTCAAAAATTTTTTTGAGGATTTTGCTTACATTGCATGTAAAAAAAAGTTCAACATAAAATATAGAGATGGTGTCTGGCCAAGAAGTTCGAGGCCTCCTGAAATATTATTACTGATGGATTTATCTGCTGATATCATGTCACTACAAAAACTCCAATATTTTGAAAATGGTTACAACTTTTGTATCCCTAATAAGAGTACCGTTTTATTGTGATTCCTTCGCTCGATCAGATGATGCTTCTAATTTTGTACCAGAAAGAATACGAGCAGAAATCATGAACCACTCTAAGAACACCCTCATTTATAACAATATCAGAAATGTAGAAGTGTATCTGAAAATTATCGCAATTAATACACATTTAGGCAGGAAAATTCAATCTGGTGGTTTTACAGAAAGATTGTTTTCAATTTTATCAACCTCAATAAAAATTTTGGGCCATCAGGCGATCTCCAGGAAGCTCGGTACACATTTTTGAGTCACCATGTACATCATCAAAATTCCTCAGAAAAATATTCTATTACCAACATTTCCTCGATACTATTCTTCAACCAATATTTCACTCTTTATTCGACCAGAATCACGAAAATATCCCCCAACCTTGAAAATTGAACATAAAAGAAAGCAAGTTTCAACTCGGGGAAAACTAATATGAGCCTCGTTCAGACGTCTAAGGGACGAGACGTGAAAATTCAGAGATAACGAGATGAGTTATAACGCCTATTATGATGTTAGTTATTAACGGAAATTCTCTCGAAATGAGCTATTCCCCGTTTTGTAACGAACTTGACGCCATCACCGGACGAGAGTGTGAAGTTGGTGCGAAGTAACACCGGAGTCTTAATAGAGGGCAATATTCCGGGGCGCATATGTCTCAAATGTCGTCACGTCTCGAACGACTCTAACGATAGCATTTTTGAACGCTTCTGAACCACACGTGACGGTATGAGAGGAAGGGGGAGAATGACTGTGAATAGGGATGGTTATGAGGTATTGGAGGACATTAAGGGTGGTATGAGTGCCGTTTGTCTAATACAAAGGGAAGAAGATCCACTCTCTATTGAAATAAATCTATGGAGGCTAATGCGATATCTCACAAAATATATCGATGACTGGACTTTGGCACGGTAATACATCACCATTATTTTCTACAAACAGAACCGATTTTTTATACGTTCCAACACGGTTTTCGCTAACCATGTTAGCATCTTCAGGAGTGTATATGAAACGCAAATAAAACTGGTGGCGTACAATGACATTAACCATAAATATACAGTGCGTCCATAAAGTAACGCATAAATTCATTATTGGCTAAATGAACAATAAAATTAGAAATTCCCGAAACAGGTCGATTTTTGATTTCAATTTACTATTGTTTCAAATCATAATCTGATAAACAGGGTGAACCACTTTCGTGTAATGACGTCATCACCATTGTTTTCAAATGGAACCCCCCTTTTTTTTCAATTTCAGAATTGCCCTTGCTGAGCTGATTCCAAAAATGTATAATATGTTGCTTCAAATTGGTACAGGGTGGGCAAAAATGCAAAAATTCACTTACAAAGTAATAAAAATAATGAATAAACGTAATAAACACATTGAATGAAATGACGTATTCTTATACAACTACTTTGATGAACTATCAAGAACATCCAGCATTATTCTTAATAATTGTATCTTACAGCTTTTATTAGTGATCCAAGCCCGTGGACTATAAGAATCTTTTTGTTTGGCATTATCTTTTACCATTTTTTTAATTTGACAAAACTGTCAAAAACATTGAAGCACAGTTTCGTATTGTTAACGCTTTAGAGAAGGTACGTTCGTGAACTTTTTTTACAAAATGCCTTTAACCGAAAGTGACAGGATGAAATATTAATGATGATTGGTATTGGCTCAGTCATCTAATTATTTGACCCATCACATATTGGAATGGAAGTATTAGCAGAATTCCGGAGAGAAGATAGTCCGGGCAATGGTTCAATATCCATTGGCTCGGCCGGAGAGTCACCACATTCGCTCTGAGTATAAGCGCCTAGCGTTGCCAGATGGCAACACGAAGCAAATTGTCTGCACAAAAAACATTCCTGCAATTTTTTTCAATACGTCACATTTATAACTTGAAGCATGTGCAACATAATTATGGAAACAGAAATCGCAAAATTAAATGCGTGAAAACAGGATAATACGTATACAAACGTGACGTCCATGTTTTACGTCAGTTCAAATAAGCTCAAAGTTTCACAAATTCACGTGGCCAAGACAGCTCACTCACAACAAATAAATGGCGGCATGTGGTTCTTTTGCG